CTTCAAATTTGAGCCTTCAAATCCATGTATGTCCAGAATTATGTGTTTTTGAAAGTTAAAAAGACAAGTCATTTTTCTTGAGACACTGCCATATATAGAAAAGACATCTATAGAAATAGGAAAAGAAATTGCTAGTTTGAAATATTTTTAAAGGAATTATGTGATTTTCATACATTTCTAGTACTTCTGAAGACTTCTCCAAGACCGAAATCAACTCCCCAAAGTGGTTGACCTATCCATTTAAATTTTACAATGAAATTGCGAAAATCCTACCATGTACTCTCCAGGTTGGCTTCATCTGTTGTCGTAGCACGGAAATATTCTGATAACACAGGACAGCTGCATCAAGGGCATTAACTCCTTCCCAGGGAAACCCAGCAGCATGAGATGTTTTACCATGGTACTTAATCGTCACACTGAAAAAAAAAAAGAATTGATAATCGTGAGGATAAAATTTCTCCTTTTTGGTAGATTAAGATGTGCAATATTATGCAGTATGCAATGAGGGGAAATTTTACAGTTCATAAGCCTATGATTTCTTATTTTCTTTTAGTTTTTTTTAGAAAGGTTCACTCAATCTTTCATCAAATAACAGAACACTATTTTATGGTAAACTACTTCTTGGTTTAACTTGGTTAAACTTGGTTTAACTTGGTTTAACTTGGTTAAACTTGGTTAAACTTGGTTAAACTTGGTTTAACTTGGTTAAACTTGGTTAAACTTGGTTAACGTTAACTTTAACGTAGAGAAACTTGCCTCTAGTTACCAGAAACGTATAGAAACTTGCCTCTAGTTACCAGAAACATAGAGAAACTTGCCTCTAGTTACCAGAAACATAGAGAAACTTGCCTCTAGTTACCAGAAACATATAGAAACTTGCCTCTAGTTACCAGAAACATAGAGAAACTTGCCTCTAGTTACCAGAAACGTATAGAAACTTGCCTCTAGTTACCAGAAACATAGAGAAACTTGCCTCTAGTTACCAGAAACGTATAGAAACTTGCCTCTAGTTACCAGAAACATAGAGAAACTTGCCTCTAGTTACCAGAAACATAGAGAAACTTGCCTCTAGTTACCAGAAACATAGAGAAACTTGCCTCTAGTTACCAGAAACATAGAGAAACTTGCCTCTAGTTACCAGAAACGTATAGAAACTTGCCTCTAGTTACTAGAAACATAGAGAAACTTGCCTCTAGTTACCAGAAAGCTTTTTCATTAACCCTCACACACACACATTAGTTTATTCGTGATTCGATTTATCAAACTCATTTGATTTTTTGTTGCTTAGCCACAAATTTACCCTGTTATAGAAGCTACTTTCTTATAAGGACGAGTACATAATTCTGTCTGATCTGATGGTGCTGTGTGACGATACTAAACTTTAGGTAAAAGACAATTATAAAAACTTACATGTTCATTGTTACATAGATAGGTCTGGATAACGTAAATTTAGATGGGTGAGCCATCATAGAAAAATCAACATCTTTAAAAACACCAGCATTGATTAATTCTATTTTACCTCCTCCACCTTCCTCAGCCGGTGTTCCTATCACAGTCAACTGGAAGAACAGAGAGAACAAAACTATAAAACAATGAACACCCTTTTTTGAACATAATTCTATAGAAATAAGGTTTGATTTACATGTTGATAGAAACTAGCTTAAGTTCAAAATATTGCGTTGTCACAAATTGCAAAACATCCATGTAAAACCCTTCAATATTCAATCTTCCTTGTATATATTTCTAAATAAACTCTTCCCTACAGATGCCATGACAACAGTGTTTTAATAATGATCCTAATATTAAATGATTAAATAGCCTACATACATCATATCTGTTTCTGCAGTTTCTTATACAATGGAGAGTGAATTTGTAGCAGATTTAACAACAATTGCTAAAAAATAGGGTATTCAATGACAATATTGTATTAAGCTACAAAAAAACCCCACACTGCTACTGAAAGTTCATGAAACTAAAAAAATTGATGAATTGTGAAAATTTCACTCACAGTTCCAAAATCTTTATCAGAAGATTTCATGGCAGCCTTGACCCCCAGGGATGTAGCTATACCACACTCAGCGATTAAATTATGTCCACATGCATGACCAATACCAGGCAGAGCGTCATATTCACACAAAACAGCTACGTTTGGTCCAGAACCTTTTTTAAAAGTTGCTTTGAAGGCTGTTGGTAATTTATAACTCCGTTCCACATCGAATCCTGATTTCTCCAGGAAGTCTGTAAGTTTAGCATGGGCATGGTGTTCCTCAAAACACAACTCAGGGTGGTTCCAGATATCTTGGCTCAGTTCATTTAACACTGAAGATTGTTTATCTATTTCCGAACAAGCTGTGGTTTTTAAAGCCTCCATTGTGTATGAAGGTTTACTCTAGAGTCTCTGATTGTCTTGATATATAATATGATTAATGAAAGATTGTTATCTTCTTGACCTTGATCTGGGGTCACTGTAATAAATTTCTATATTCTATTCACTATCATAAATCTGTTGATGAATATTCATATCAGTATAATAGTTTAACCAACCATGTCTTTAAATTATTCCATTTCACAATTTTACTTTCAGAATCTACTTAATCTACAAAAATAAAATGTTAAACTTCATATGAACATTTAGAATCTCTCTGATTTAATAATAGGCCTAGGGGTCTACTAATAGACTTATATATTCACATCTTGTTTGATCAGCTGATAACAATAAACAGAGGCCCGTGAGCTACAGGCACCTTCGATAGTTGGAAATCGAAAAAGGGCAGGTTAATGCTGCTGTCCTTGCTAAATTTCCCTCATTGTACACTGCATGACATTGCCTGTCTTTTTAGTCCACATGATGCAGAAAAGTAGGATGTAAAACTCCATTCAGTTCATTTTTGATGAGCTGATTGAGCACATAAAAACACTTTTGAAGTTGCTCGGACAATTGTGTTTAACTTGATAATCTTACTTTTAACCTTTTAACTTTTAACAGTTAGAGCTATTTATATAGACATAGTGAACCTACACCTACCCTACAGTTACTACAGTAATAATAATCATAATAATAATAATAATAGACATATTATGGCCAGGTCTGTTTACGCTTTAGCGCTTTAACAAACTAACAAATAATGTAAAAATCTTCGAATGTCAGTAGCCTATCATGTTCCTTAAACACTACGATATCTTTCATATAATGGATTATATTATATTCTGCTGGTGCTTAAGGAATATGGTAGCCTATGGGCTATGGACAATGTAGTCCGAAACATCTGACTATTCCAGTCTCTGATGCATATTTTGATAGTTGTCAGTTGGGGAAGTCAGAAGGAAGAGACCCTGTTAAATGGGGATTTTCCACACCTCCAAAGATGCGTTTTCTCTCAAATAATATAGAATTACCTTTAAGATGATTATAATTAGTGTTGAGCAACACCATAAATTTCTTTTTGTTAGTATCATGCGAATCTATGACCATTGAACTTTGGCAGTTTTAAATGGCCGATGTTAGATAAGTTTCGCCAAAATAAAACTTTGATGGACATGAGATGAGACATGACATAAATGGTGTAGGGAGAAAATGATGGTATTACTGAACTACAAAACATTCATCTTTCCAAATAAACCTGGGTTTTGCGGATCAAAGGTTTCTAAATAGGTATAAACCCCCGACACCTGTTTAGATGCAGAACAATCCCATTTAACAGGGCCTATTTTTTCTGTCTATACACCAGCCGACATTCGTCCAAATAACTATCAGAGGCTGGAATAGAGACAGATGTTTCGGAGACAGATGTTTCGGTCTATGTATAATGCTGATATCATTGATATTGGATCATAGAGAGTTCCATGATCTCAATATTGAAAAGTGCAACTAAATAATATAGAGTATAAGTAAATGGAATGGTCAAAAATGATCTCAATTTCTTTAAAACCAGAGGAATATTCCACCAGGGGAGCTCTTATCTACCTTTAAACTTTTATAAGAATTTAGTGGCCTAAGGGAGATAAACCAAATCTCCGGATTATCTGCACCTCATTTGTTAATTCACAGGGACTCGAAGCGTTACATTTTATCAAAGTTTGAAAATTTTGGAAATGACTTTGAAAACATCTTTAATTTAATTTAAAAAAAAAGTTTATTCTTTTTCATTTTCCAGAAGAAAACTTTGATAAATTGTTGGTAGATCTAGCCTATTTTTGATAACATTTCCAACAAGAATTTCGAGGCCCTGTGATTTAGCCACATTATACTTTCCGCTAAGGGAGGTTATCAGGGATGATTGAACGAATGAAATGTCAAAAACAAATCAATCGATACTTCAATAACATCGAATTTTCGTCAAGAATTCCATTCTGAAGGTCAACATTTTATGTTTTGGATATCGTCTGCTAAAATTTTATTCAGTCATGATTTTGCTGTTTTGAATATTGAGGTCAATTCTTAATATTTCCTTCAGAATTTGCAGACGAATTCGCGAAAATGTTTGGAAGCGTAGACAGACACAAAAACAGCTTCCTGGAAAACACCAAAACTGCCAGAGAAGAAAGAGCACAAGAGAGGATTCGAGAACTCTCAGCCGTAAAAATTCAGTGCTACACAAGAAGCTTTTTATGTCGACGGAAACTTCAAAAGAACGCTCGTGATGATTTGGACAGATTGATTCAGTTACCTGATCAAAATGGAGAAGGAGAAGGGGTGGACTACAAACCAAAACTGGCACCAGCCTTGGAATTTTTCAAAACTGTCAGAAGATTTTTGTTTTTCTATAACCAAGCTGATGACAAATACCGCTTTGAATATTTGTGTCGATATTTGTTGATAAGCGTCCAATCGGATGTGACAAAAAATTCTTACATTTCTGTAGCCATGACAAAAAATGCATTGCTATGGATTCAACAAGTGAAAGACATTGCTTGGAAATGTTGTCAGTGTTTGAAAATATTGAGACCAGAGAACCATCACGATTCAAACAGTATCATGCTGCATTTAGGAATATTGGTAACATTTACTAGTACAACATCGTGGAAGATTTTAAAGACGAAAGCAACGGAAGCGTTGAGTCAAGGAATGATAAAGCTATGTAACAATATCATGGGCCATTTAAACACGATGGGACTCTACCCAATTCTGGCCACATTATTAATGAAAGGTTTAGCTCGATTTAAACCTAGCTTTAATAAGAACACTCTATCCGCCATTATGACTGTTGCCTTGCGCCCGTTAATTGCAGCTAATTTTTCCGACAATCTTTTGTCCGTCTTTTTACTCCACATTTTATCAGTTCCAGCAATAGTTCACCATATCAGTGTTTTATCCCCAGACACACTGGCGATCTTGATAACTCATCGTGTTTTTAAACGCTGTCTTGATCTAATGACCAATGAACAAAGCACAAGGATAATTTTTAATTCGCTACAAGGAAATTACGCTCTGTGTCTTATGGCCAATTTGATACAACTCGGTTTCTCCGAACTGGAAGGCCTGATAGAAAATACTTTAAACTTTATGTGCGTGATGATTCGACTGCTAGATGGATGTCAGAAGTATGTGTTAAGTAAAAAGTCAAATTTGACTCACTGGCATCCAGTTTTAGGCTGGTTTTCTCAAGCTACTGATAAAAGTTTACACGAGGCAATGCACTTCGTCGTCAAACAATTACAACTTTTATGGAGTGACAAAATGATCAGAATTTTGTTCACAGATCTGATAGAATATGTCGAAATCTCTGAATTGAAATCAGCTCCGAAAGCTTCACCTAGTCGAAACATTATCAAGAAAGTTATTGAGAAAGCTTCACAGAAAAATGACGCTCCGAAGATAAAACTGGAAAGTTCGATGTCCACAACAACTTGTTTGGCCTGTAATTTATACCGTACCACTCTACAAACTTTATCTCAATTAAAAATGGACGTCATTGGAGGGCTGAGTTATAACGAAGTCTTGCTACCAAATTTGTGGAGATTCCTTTGTGACTTGGGACCAAATTGTGGATTGAAAATCTATTTGGATTTTTTGACCGAAACGCCCAATTCTACCATTCACCCAGTTTTCAGTCTGTTGACGTTATTTTGTGAAACAGCCAGTCATTTATTGACGACCTTAGATGACATTGAGATGTACGAAACTCAGAGATTTCTTAAAGTGTCAGATTATGTGAAAATGAGTGAATTTTTGAATATTTTTGTGTTTCGCGTTTTGTGGACAGGCATGATCGATCTTCAAACGGCAGCGAGTTCTGATGTTTATAATTCGTGTTGGACATTGTTAATGATTCTTCATGAACGAGACGCCAGACGTCAATTTGCTCCCAAAAATCATTGGCTGATTCGGGACGTGAAACCAAGTTTATTTATGGCCGAGTTGGACAGGGGACGAAAATCAGTTCAGTTTCTCATGCAGAAAGTTCCCCATATCATACCTTTTAACGATAGAGTCATCTTATTCCGAAAATACATTTCTAAGGAGAAAGACGTATTGGGAATTACAGAATCTGTTTGTGCCTCTCCGCAGTCAACGTTAATAACCGTACATCGTAGTCGAATCGTGGAGGACGGTTATCGTCAATTAGCTCAGTTGCCGTCTCGTGCCCTCAAAGGAATCATTCGAGTAAAATTTATAAACGAACAAGGACTTGATGAAGCTGGGATAGATCAAGATGGAGTTTTTAAAGAATTTCTAGAAGAAACTATTTCACGAGTTTTCGATCCGTCTTTGAGTTTATTTAAAGTTACAAGTGAACAGAAACTTTATCCTTCATCTACGTCATTTATTCAAGAAAATCATTTGGCTTTGTTTGAATTTGTTGGTAAAATGTTAGGAAAAGCCGTGTATGAAGGAATCATTATCGAAATTCCTTTCGCATCTTTTTTTCTAACACAGATGCTTGGACATCAACAAAGTTCGACGTATAGTTCTTTAGATGAACTTCCATCCTTGGACCCGGAACTCGCGAAAAGTTTGAATTATATAAAACATTACGATGGAGATATGTGTGACCTTGAACTTACATTCTCGTGTGACGAGGATTGTATGGGGAGAATCGAAACCCACGAGTTGGTCCCTGGGGGTAAAGCAATATCTGTCACCAACGAAAATAAAATTCGATATGTCCATTTGATGGCACATTTTCGAATGTATCGTCAGATTCGAGATCAGACCAACGCGTTTATTCGTGGTTTTAAAACTGTGATTAATAAAGACTGGCTACACATCTTTTCAGCGCCAGAATTCCAGAAACTAATTTCCGGTGATAATACGGACATGGATATTGAGGATCTGAGACGTCATACTCAATATTACGGTGGTTACCATAACAACCATAGAGTTATAAACTGGTTATGGGACATTCTGGATAAAGATTTTAAAGACGCTGAGAAGAGTCTGTTTTTGAAATTTGTAACTAGTTGCTCGAAGCCTCCATTGTTGGGTTTCGCTCATTTGGAGCCTCCGTTTTCTATTCGATGTGTTGAGGTCAGTGATGACCAAGATATGGGCGATACGGTCGGAAGTGTATTAAAGGGATTTTTTAATATCAAAAAGAAAGACGCAGGCGGACGTCTGCCGACTTCGTCAACGTGTTTCAATCTATTAAAGTTACCCAACTATAGTAAGAAAAGTATTTTAAAAGAAAAGTTAAGATATGCTATTCACTCACATTCTGGTTTTGAAATTTCTTAATTTTTGGACAAAATTGACTTCATTGCACACACCAAAGGTATAATGTATAGCTAGTCTTGGTGAGTCTTAGAATTTATTGTTAATTCAGGAACACATTAGATGGGTAACTACAATGATTTCATTTCTTAATTCTTATTTTGACCAAATTTTCCCATTCGGTTATATTTGGTAAAGTTCTTGGTAATGGGTATACACTGTACATTGACCAGAGAATTGTATTATTAAATAATTCTAAATTAGAACGGATTCTACACATTTTAAACATGAAGAGTGTTTTATTCTTTTGATAACTTCAGATATCAGAATATGAGTTCTACTTATCAAACTTCAGTAGGAGTGTAGACTGAAATAGATCAGTTGTCTGAAGATCTCTACTTATCAAACTTCAGTAGAGACACAGACTGAAATAGATCAGTTGTCTGAAGATCTCTACTTGTCAAACTTCAGTAGGGACACAGACTGAAATAGATCAGTTGTCTGAAGATCTCTACTTGTCAAACCTCAGTACTGACGCAGGCTGAAATAGATCAGTTGTCTGAAGATCTCTACTTGTCAAACTTCAGTAGAGACACAGGCTGAAATAGATCAGTTGTCTGAAGATCTCTACTTGTCAAACCTCAGTAGGGACCCAGGCTGAAATAGATCAGTTGTCTGAAGATCTCTACTTGACAAACTTCAGTAGGGATGCAGGCTGAAATAGATCAGTTGTCTGAAGATCCCTACTTGTCAAACTTCAGTAGAGACACAGGCTGAAATAGATCAGTTGTCTGAAAATCTCTACTTGTCAAACTTCAGTAGAGACACAGGCTGAAATAGATCAGTTGTCTGAAGATTTCTACTTGTCAAACTTCAGTAGAGACACAGGCTGAAATAGATCAGTTGTCTGAAGATCTCTACTTGTCAAACTTCAGTAGAGACACAGGCTGAAATACATCAGTTGTCTGAAGATTTCTACTTGTCAAACTTCAGAAGAGACACAGGCTGAAATAGATCAGTTGTCTGAAGATCTCATGGTGTGAAACTCTGAGTAACAACATGATTTATTAGGTTCTGTTTTAATATTTCTATATCACTCTACAATTGATGTACTGAGCACTATTTTAACAGTGGTATTTCTATATATCTCTACAATTGATGTATTGAGCACTATTTTAACAGAGGTATTTCTATATCGCTCTACAATTGATGTATTGAGCACTATTTTAACAGTAATGTTTCTATATTACTCTACAATTGATGTATTGAGTACTATTTTAACAGTGGTATTTTCTATATCACTCTACAATTGATGTATTGAACACTATTTTAACAGTGGTATTTCTATATCACTCTACAATTGATGTATTGAGTACTATTTTAACAGTGGTATTTCTATATCACTCTACAATTGATGTATTGAACACTATTTTAACAGTGGTATTTCTATATCACTCTACAATTGATGTATTGAACACTATTTTAACAGTGGTATTACTATATCACTCTACAATTGATGTATTGAACACTATTTTAACAGTGGTATTTGTATATCGCTCTACAATTGATGTATTGAACACTATTTTAACAGTGGTATTTGTATATCACTCTACACAATTGATGTACTATTTTAGCAGTGAGAATGAATTTAAGATGTATTAAATATATAATTACAGTGTATAGAATATTATAAAGTGTAATTTTGTGATGTTGATGTGTATAAGGAGTTAAAAACCGACACTTATGGAGTTGAATTTCAATATAGCATTTATAACCTTTGTTGTTGGTAGACAGATAAAGTTATATATAATTGTGTATAAATATAATATAAGATATAAGTAATAAATATTCAGAATGGATTGTATTATAAAATTGAAAAATATAAATATTCAAACTATTATTATTATAAAATATACACATATAAATAACTCTACCATTGTTGTTAGTTTGTATTGGTCTCACTAGTTTACTAGTTTGAGTACTCTGGATTGGTACGGTGATACCACATAATTCGGGTCATCTGAGGCGGATATATAGACAAACCTCAACTCCAGTATTAGCACTGCACTGATGAGACCCAGCAGGCCGAAACAGTCCTGTTTGAAGTTAGATAATTATAAATAAGAATTGGGAGGGCACTCTTCTCTGTTTAAGGTGATTGTAAGGACTAGGTTTTCTAAAGTTATGTGAATCAGGGACATGTTGCACCATTCCAATTTTCATTCCGACGTCTGTGTTTCCTGCAAATTGATGCTTTCAGTGTCCCTCATACACATAAAATTTTTTAGAAAATGGAAAACCTCTTTACAATCCCTTTTATAAAATATATGAATAAAAAAAATAAAATTGCTGTAATTTCTTCTCTTCCATGGAACCTAACCCTTGAATTTTATTGGTTTTCAGAAAACATCAATTTTCACTATTTCAATTTTCAGTCAGATGTCTGTGGTTCTGGCAATTCCAATCAAACGAGGTGTTTTATCACATAGCTATTGCTAACAGTCTAAGATATTGAAGCAGATTTTGTGACACTGAGCAATACCGACCGACCGATATACGCCACCCATTTCATGTGGCGTATAAAAATGTCATTTGAGATGCCATCACCTACAATGAACATACCAAGAGGAAGACTGTCACTGCCATGGATGTTGTTTATGTTATATAAAGGAAATATTTATTTTATCTTGTGTCGCTTAAAACCGGTAATTTTTTTTTGGTCTTAACATTCATTGACCAAGCAGTCAGTGTGTCAGTGTTTCTCAAAGATCTTATTGTCATATTTTGTCATAACTGTTGTTTTTTTTCAACATAACATTCCCCTCTTATGACAAATTTCATTTGACAAGATTTTTTGAGAAACACAGGTAATTTCTTCTGGTATTTATATTTAGCAAATCATCTATACCCATTTACAGCTTAGGGACGGAAGATTTCATGTCAGAATGGGCTATTTTAGAATCTGAACAAGATAATTCAAACGGGAAAAATAGTACCATATTTTGAACAAGGATACTACTTAGGTTCATGAGGATCCTGTCTATTATTAACTATACCTTTTTACAACTGAGTTGACTGAAATAATGAGGAGACATGACTCATCATCAACGAGATGATACTAAATTCCAGCAAAATAAACATCACATTAAAATATCAATGTTAAGATATAAAATTTTAATGATAAATGACAATATTATTTACAATATATAAAAACAACCTCCTAAACTTATATCATTTTACATTTTTACAAAACATTTCACTTTTCTATTTATTTATCAGAATATAACCCTAAACTTTAGACAAGATATTGTGGGGAGGGGGGAGAGGGGAGAAGACTCTACTCTGTTTAAGGTGATTGTAAGGACTAGGTTTTCCAAATTTTTTATGTTGCACAATTCCAATTTTCAATCTGACATCTGTGGTTCCTGTAATTCTACTAAAACTTCGTGTTTAGCCACTAATTACAAATGGCGCTATGCGATTAAGTAGCTTTCGCAATTAGTGACATCATAAAAGGTTTTCTGCAAAATTGAAGCACATTATGATGTGGTAGAGACATTTCTGCAAAAATGCAAAAAAAAAATTAATAGTTTTGCAGGAACCACACACGTCTGATTAAAAATTAGAATGGTACGAATCGATGCTGTCAGTGTTTCAGATACACTTAAAGAATTCAGAAAACCTATTTACAATCTCTTTAATGTATTGAATTGGCATTATTATAAATACAAGCAAACAACAAAAATGAAAGTTGATAATAAAAAGTAAATAAACAAGTATATTATAAATAAAATAGAAAAGTCATTATTTTAATGTAATTAGACTAAAATCATGATGTTCTGTTCAAAAAGAATAGGAAGGTTACAAACTTAGTTTAAACAATATATTTACACTTACAGTCATCAGCCAGTTAAAATACTCCTAACATTCTTCTATCCTAACTAACTAGTATCGAGAACCGTGATTGGTTAATCTTCTTAACCCTAACGGCCAGTTTACCAGCCACATAATTACGTAATATTACATCAACCGGTCATTATCAATTGACCTCACATAGTGTCATACAGTTATTTTACTTGAAGTTCAGGGTATATGACGTGTTATATTATTAACACTGGGTGTTCAAAGGGTTAAAATAGAGACTGTAACGTAATCAGCCAATCAGAGGTCTTGGTTTATGGTGTAACTCATAACTGATTCAACAGCGACTCAAAAATAATTCAAACGCACAGTTACCTGATTGGTCAATCAAAAAATATTGATTTCAAATTTATTTTAATTAACCCTTCAGATTACTGTAGTATTATAAAACCTTTATAATATCTTACTGGAAGTTTTTGTGTATATTTGTGAACACAAAGTCTTTAGAGCTCTTTAGACCAATCACGTTAATATTCCAGTTACCTGATTGGTCAATCACTAAAATTGATTTTAAATCTAGTCTAGTAAACCAATCAGAGACCGTATTCTCGAAAACTTATCTAAGATTAAATCCAGATTTTAAGACATAAGGTAATCTGATTGGATAAAAAAACTAAATGTAGAATAGATTGTAGTGTTTGACCAATCAGATGACTCGAATACTAAAATCATCCCAATTCAAGTTTTCAAGTAAAAGATCCCAGAGTACTGTATTCCTTAAAATTTGGATTTGATCTTGGTTTAGTTTTAGTTTCTCGACAATTTGACTATAAAAGAAAGATTGTGTTTTACATTTGACGTAATTTTGCCAACCTCTGTGATAACTCGTCCTGTAAAATAAACAATTAGAAATATTAAATGAGTGAATATGTATTAAAAGGTAAAAGAAGTGCCTTAGAAATAACTTTCCACTAAACTTTCGAAGAATCTCCTAGATAATGGAAGTCCAGTATATTTTTGTGCGATAGTTCATTAAAAATGCCAGCAAGTATTTGTCTGATCACGAAGGTGCACATGCCATTTTTTTTTAATTTTAAATTCGTACCACTAGCTTTATGCTTCCTTCATGACACAATCTGAAAGCTGTCAGAATTATTTTAATTAAGTTAGTAAGATTCAGTCAGTTACTGACTAGTCCAGGACCAATAGAAACAGGGTGTGAAAAGAGAGAACTCACCTGTTCCTGGGAGGCCTGGGCTGAAGATGCTGTACCAATAGTTGACCCCTGGGCTTGAGGTAAATCCATGTTTAACTCTAGTCTGTAATAAAATAACATCATAATATAGAAATAAACTCCAATAAATTCAGGACATACAGACTTCATTTATATAATAATAGAAATAAACAGATTAACAGTGGCTGTGCCATTTTATTACCCCAAATTTCAATTATTTGAAAAATTTCTTGGAAGACGCCTTTTAAACCTTCGATGAGAGGCTAGAGACTATGATGTTCCACAGAGTTGCAGCATTTTGAATTTAGCCTCGACAGTTGTCCCCTCTACTGAGTTAATCTGCCCCCTATTTGAACCCCCAGTCTCAGGAGGTTAGTGTTATCATTCAATGGGAGAGAATCTTGTATTTAAAACAATGATAGAGATCAAACCATTTTCGTAGTACACCATAGTGATTACCAGTTGTGTATGGTTGTAAATAATGAAAGTGGTCATGAGTTCTGAACACAACTTAAAATTCAGTTATATGAGAGTTATGTTTGAAATTTATCACCACTATCCTTATTTACAAGTGGTGATAACTATGGTGTATGAGCACCGTTAAGGGGAGAGTACCTACCCTGCCTCATCTGCTACTTCCTGCATCAGACTGTCTACTTGGTTCTGAGGGGTGGTCAGCGTCGAAGTGTTACACATTGTACTCTCCATAACTTGAGACTGGACATCCAAATTCTCGAACTGTTGTTCAAATCGGTCCATTAGCTGAGATACCTAGAAAAAACGGAAATTTGAAATAAACTTTCAGTCCAATTCTTTACTTCAAATATAAATTTCTAAGAAAACGGAAAACAAATTCTGTAGGTTTCAAAAGCTGAAATTCACCCTCAATGAGTTAACTCTTCTTTAAAGTAAAAAGAAACTATCTGAGACTTTTGGCATCTTTGTAGATAAGTCGGAAGAATAAAATACATACCTTTTCTAGATTCATAGATTTCATGGCGGACTCCATTGATTTGACGACTCCTGCCATAGATTGTGTCACTTGTTTGGTTGTCAGGGCCGTCTGAACTCTCTGAGCTACAGCATCAATCCTGGCACCCATTCTTCGATAATTCAACGCCTGGTTTTTCTGTCGAATTGCATTTTCAGCGTGAATTTTTGCTCCTTCCATATTACCTTTAGCAATGGCCTGAAATTATTCAAATATATTCTTATAATTGAAGAGAATCCGATCTTTTACTACTAAAAACCTTAGATTTGACAGTAAATTGTAGACATACCTACTTAAATGGAAAACTTTTTTTCACTTGTGACCATGCTTTCCAACCTGTTAGATGTGATCTCCTGCGAATATTGGGAACCCCCTCACGACTTTCACACAAAACACATAGTGAAAGCTGAGAATTGATCGTACAATGCAAAATTTTTCATTTTCCCAAGCTGAAGTAAGATGTCAAAATCAGTTTCATTTTACAATATAGCCTTACTAAATCAACGATATCAACATGATTTTTTACCTTTTTCAGTTTATTTTTCTCATCTTTCTCTGATTTTTCTGATTTCTTGGCATTTCTCTCCAAATCTTTAGCTGCAAATCTTAGATTAAATAAATGTTCTGGACAAGATTAAGGGAAACAACGAAATACAGGGTGTGTGCCATGATCAAGGTAATATACTAGTAGATTCGTAGAACAAATGTCAACCCAAAGACAACTCGGACCACATTTTTAAGACAACTTTTACATATCACTAAGAAACTTTCAAAGAATATTTTTTTAATTTTTTGTAGATAATTATAGTCAAACCATTTTTTTAAGACTTGGAACTCGGACCAATTTCAAAGAGTCTTATAACATGTGTTCCGAGATGTCTTTAAATTGTTATCCGAGTCTTTGCCTTTGAACCCTAAGTGTTAATAAAATAAAATTTATTTAATATATTTAACTTTAAGTGTATATGTTGTTAACATTATGTGACGGCACTTGGTAACGTCCGGTTTACCTGCCGCTCGGTATAATTTGCGTGACTATGCTGCCAGTAAGTAAACAGGGACACAGATAGCATCAATTTGTACCATTCCAATTTTCAATCATACATCTGTAGTTCCTGCAATTTCCACAAAACTAAGTGTTTGATGATGTCACTAAAGCGTAAATCTGCTCTATCACATTAGACCTTTCACGATTAGTGACATCATAAAATGCGTTAGTTTTAGAAGAATTACAAATACCACAAACGCCTGATTGAAAATTGGAATGGTGTAAATTGATGCTATTAGTATTAGTGTCCCTGATACACATAAAATTTTTAGAGACCATCTTTACGTGCCACAATTACAGGGGTCCAAGTTGTCTATATAGACTAGTAAGAAATATATAAGCATCAAACAGTACTGATAGTCCGCTGATAAAATGATCAACATAAGCACACATTATCAATCTGAAATTTGTTGGTACAGAGGACAATTTTCAGCCATTTTCGTAAATCTTACAATGTAAACAAACTTACAGCAGGGATAATAAAGATCTGAAAATGGGAATCCCCACCACCCATATCCTTTCAAACGACTCAAAACAACTAAAATTCCACCATATTCTTAAAAGGATACTGTCCATTTTGAAATGATCTGTTGGTTTCCAAACAAATTCTAAAAGTTATGTCCAAACAGTCTTGAATTAACTACTCTTTAGTTGCGTTTTTGATAGAAATATTGCAAAATGACTGATCTTCTTGTGATTGTGTTTGTGTATGACGTCATGAATTCTAAAAATAATTCGTGATGTCATCAAAACGTGTGTACACAGACCAAAACCGGAAGCACGTGTGTTTAGGTTTTGGAAATGGCTTCGAAAACACACCAGAAAAGGAAAAAGGCGATAGAAGACGAAGATAATGCTTCATCTGAAAAGAAGGCAAAAGAAAAAGACGACTTCAATGCAACCAAATTCAAATCTATGCTGAAAAATGTGGACACCATATTTTTAGGTGCAGTTTTCCAAGTTGTCTGTAGACTTTTTTTTTAGCTGTGTTTCCTAAATTACTACACAGTGACCATCACAGTGAAACCTGTCCAATCAGGACAACCCCATCTTCATATTATTATTGTCAATTTTAATGAAACAATGCTGTCAGACATCGAATGTCCATTTCTTTTCTTGGTGATAAATAAGAAATCTTACTCTCTGACTACACTGTTTTCTGAATTGAATTTTGGCAATCATTTCCGTATGAATTGAAATATCAACGACAAGATACTACTGAGAGTCTTACATTACCTTTTGGTTGATGAAAATGTTAACCACTGGAAAAGTTATACTTTGTAAACATGATTTTACAGAGTCGAATTATGTCCAAAAAATAGTTCATTTCCACTTGAATTTTCTAGGAGGGAAGTGTATCTGTTTTATATGTAAAATCACTGAACCTTATATTTCTATAGACCTAAAGACATTCTTAGACAAATTGTATAAAGTTTAAATATAAATAAAATGAGAGAAAAAATTTATTTCAAAGCTCAGTGTAGTCAGACAGTAGTCTTTCTTGTCATTGATTCACATACAAATCTGAACGTTCCCGAGATTCAAACTGATTCTCTTGTTTTTATTTTACAGCATTAGAAGAGTTCGGTGATGCTGCCAATGGCTACCCAGAATACACAGATTATGACATCGTTAAAGATTACATCGAAGTGTCTCCAGATTGTTCACAGATCTTCCATCTTATTGACGGCAAAACGTTGAAATCAGCTGAGGTAGGTTCGGGCAGGTGGAAGAATTGATGATGGAAGCCAGAATCAGGACATCTTGTGTTTGAAGTTTAGGGTAGAAGAGTGTAGATCACTATTGGGACTCTTGAAAGGGCTGCCATCTTGAATGTTATTGTTGTTGTAAGGAATGGAGGACTGAATGAAAAGTATTTGCCATCTACCTATTCTTGGAATTTAGGATTTCAATATTTCTTCTGCATTCAAAAGGAAACTTTTGATACGCCCATTTTAAGTGGGGAGGGTGTTTAATAATGATGTCACCCATGTCTGCTGTCTGTCCGTCGCTAACGGTCAGTTAGATTGACAGATTTTGACAAACCCAGCATGTATGAAACCTCACATGGAAAACTATTCTTAATTATCATTTTCTTATTTTCTATTATAGGTGTCGAAGATATTCCGTGTATTTGAGTGTATCTTGCTCAGAACAGGCGATGATTTAGCTGAGAAATACGGACACGTAGGCGAGGGAATCGTCAGTCATATTTGTGGTGTGAATTCAAAACAGATTTACCTGGCGTTGAATATTCGTAATAAACCCAACCAATTAAAATCAACGATAAAATTATTAACGTCGATGGTGCTACAGGGTGAAACGTCGGCTCTCTGTGTTCTTGATTTATTTGAGGAGAAAAATATCGGAAGTTTGATTCCGCTTTTTACCCATAAAAATATCTCAGTAAGTTCAAATTTAGTCAGATGAAATCAGTAATCTTCAAAATAAAAACAATATCAAAACAAAATCAGGACAAAATCAGGAAAATATCAGGACAAAATAAAAACAATATCAAAACAATATCAAAACAAAATCAGGACAAAATCAGGACAATATCAGGACAAAATTCAATTCAGAAATCAGTGTAGTCAGAGAGTAGCTGTCCTGATGAGGGCCTTATATCTACAACACTTGGCAGCATGAGATTTTGAAATAGATGTTAGTTGAGAGTTTTTTTACAGTATAGTAATTTAGTTGTCAACAACTGACCATACTCTCCAGATAGTATATAAGTTCTATATTAGAAAGTGAACCTGTCATTATGATATTTTGATTATTATTTTAGGATAATGAAGATGTGAGAACATGTGTTATATATTTTATAATATCATTCTTACTATCTGGTAGTAATACATTGATTAGACAACTTCTTAAAAAAACAGGTACTAGATTTATTGATTCTTTATATTTTATTATCATTGTCATGTTTTCAAATCCTATAATTTTTTATGTGTATCAGGGACACTGATATCTTCGATTTACACCATTCCAGTTTTCAGTCAGACGTCTGTGGTTCTTGTAGTTCCACTAAAGATGGGCATGTAATGAGGTCACTATTATCAGAAACTTTTGCGATGGTGACACCATATGTTATTTTGTTAAGATGCTCTAATACACATAACAATGTAAAAATAAACTAGTAATGTACTGGCCAAGGTGTTTTTTTTAATGATATATAATTTTTGTTTATTTTAGAATTAGTACAGAATGTATTTTATGATATATCTCATGATAAACTGGAACTAATAGAAATGATTCTACAGATCTTTCATGAAAAGGTAAGGCCAGGTTTATTGGAGAGATATATCATGTATCTTGTTCAGTAACTCTTCGTAAATCCTCCTGACCTCCTGACCCACTGACCCACTGACTCCCTGACTTCTCTTACTCGGGAGAAGAATAAAAACTCTGAAAGTTTTATAATAACAGGTGAAAGTTTTTAAGAATCAATACTTACTTTGCCCAGTTGACTTTAATGAGATATACAACTTATCACATTTTTGTTTTTCTATTTTTCTATTTTTACACTAATCATCTCAAGACCTTTATTTTTATTTCTTAATTCATGACCTCGGCCAGTGTCTTTTTGATAATATTATTCTCATCTAGTGAATTTTACTCCCTAGATATTAGAGAACCAAGGTATCAACAAGTCAACTAAAGTTGGGATTTTTAACGGGAGAATTTTACACGAGTTAACTCAGCTGTATTATTGGTGTGGACCACAGAAATGGCGAGACAGTAAATCCAGCAAACATGGTGAAGTTCAGGTAAGACTGAGATCTATAATTGTTTATTAATTTAAAGGAATGTTTTATTTGACTCTAGTTAGTCTTTATACATTCTATTATTATTATTATTATTATTATTATTGTGGATTCTTTTTCTTCATTTCCATCTAAATTATCATGGAATTGAAACACACTTGGGATTATTCTTAACAAATACAGTAATCTGATTGGCTAAGAAAACTAAATTTAAAATAATTATAGTATTTGACCAATCAGATGGTTGGAACACTCAAATCATGTGAAGTCAAGTTTTCAGATAAGAAAGATTCTAGTATGATATTTTATTTTTATTTTTGCCCCCAGGACACGGCATCTGAAGAAGATAAATTAACAGTAATAGATCTAGTCCACCATTTTTTATCAACGTTGTGTTGTTCTTTTAAACATGGTATAGCTTTCTTCGATAAAACAGTTGGCACTGGGAAACGGTCAGTATGAAACTAACTTGAAATTTAATATTTGCCAATAAAAATGCACAAGCTGGTGATATAGAATATCTATCAAACACACAATTTTAAGTCACAAGGAGAATATTGCAATTCATTAGTTATCCTTATATTCCTTAGAATCTAACAACATTTGCTTGGTTTCTGTGAAAAGATCGTCTTTATATTGATAAGATCCTGGTCAAGTTTGAATTTGTTGATTTTTCGATGAACAGTTTGTGGGTTTATTGCCCTTCACAGAGGAAAAACACGTCAAAATTTGTTGGTGAACACTATGGTGACTGATTTTAATGATACATTCACATTATGTTAAATATGACTTGTGAACGCAATAGAGGTGACAGTTTTAGTCAGAATTTTATAAAATTTTGTGTGTTTGTTTAAATCAACAATGTGCCATTTGACATAGATTGTCGACAGCCTTTGATATACTGAAAAGATATCAGGGAAGCGGGCGTATCTTGCTAGCTAACCACTATCTGTCAGTCAAAATCTGTTAATATTTTAACTTTTAATTATTTCAGCAACCACAATATTACCCTGTCTAAAATGCTGTCATCCCTTCAACATCCCTACAACCATTCTAAATTAAAACTACTGGTTATTCAAATCTTAAAGGAGTGTCCTGATTTACTACAACATTATCTACCTTTATTTAACCATGCACTATTACCCAGACCTACACCAGAATGGTTGAAATGTATCAACTTTATTCTAGAGGTATATTACATCTCAAGTTTATCAATTGAAAAATAATAAAAGTGGTGCTCATTTTTTGTGAGATTCAGAGATTACACCACGCTTTCTCAAATGTCTATGTGGTGCATCAGAGACATGCGATGGAAATAAAAAAATAAAGTAGATTGGTGCGTGTTTGGGATTCATGGAATCAACGAGACGATTAGAACAGGGATCAGAACGCGTTCCACATGTGCCGCTAAAGTGGACAGAATTCAAAATGGTAGAAGAAATAGAATAGAAAAATTTGAATTTGACATATTTGTTATTTGATATATTTTCAGATCTACGAGAATCAAACCACTTCTCCTAATTTACAATATCTAGAAGACGTTACTATTAATAACGTAGTTACCATAGCAACAACATATTTCATCCCTCCTGAGATAATACGCAAAACACTGGCCAATGGTTTGAAGGTTAGTTTAAGATTTGATGTTACTTCACATTTTTGATTTTTAAAAGTTGAATTTTGATTTGATTACAGATAAATAACTTAAAGTTTTATTTTGAATGAAAAATGTCCTTCTGATTGGTTAAAACTCACTGCCATATATCAAATTACACTAAGAGAGCCAATGTACTTTCGGACCTATAAGAGTACAGGCACATAAGCGGTCTTGGTTGGAGATTTTTGTCTCCGACTCAAATCTTGAGTAAAATCTTGTGTGTGCCCATGCTTCTACGACAAGATTATCATGTTGCCGACAGGATTTGTAGTATCAAACAAGTTTGATTATTGTCTCCGATAGATTTATTGTCTGAGAGACAGACTGTCATCATCCAATCAGAATCATTTTCCTTTCAATGGCATGCTCTGCTTATCAACATGGTGGAAAACAACCAACTGGATATTTTTGTCTCCATGTGTGCCCGTGTCAGTCGTTGAAACTCTTGACAAGACTCTAGTCGGCAATAAAAATCACTGACCAAGACCATTCGTGTGCCTGTACCTTAAAGTGATCATATACTCATTGCAACTCTAAAACTTACGACGATTTTAGACGATTTTAGTGTTCTGGTCATTTGGGGCTTTAAGTGTTGCAATCATCTGATTGGTCAATCACTAAAATTGATTTTATATTCAGTTTTATTATCCAATCAGATTACTGTAATATCTTATTTGGGAATTAAAAAGTTTGGATTTTTATCTTTGTTATGTTTTTGAAACTAAGGCCACTGATTTTCGTTTTAGTATAAAATACATTGTTTTCAGTTTTAGTATTTTTTAGACTACAAGTAGAGACACCGATAGAAAAAAGAACCTGAATGAATACCCAGATCTGGGTTTAAATTAGATTATAACTTAAGTTCTAGTTTTAATAAAACATCATGACCTTGTTTTTAGAATGAATCTATGGTGGTACGTCATAAAACAATAGAGTTATACCGGTTTATATTGAATCGTGGGGTAACGCTGATCAGGAGTGGTGAATCTAGTCCTGATAAATTACCAGTAGATGTTAGAGAATATAGAAAACAGCTGATTGACACTATTATCAAGGTAAAGTAACGAATTTATCCTCATTAATTGTATTGTCACAGCTTAATTCGAGATAATACTCTGTCTTCCCTTTCAAGGTGAATAGTTAATCTTTAATCAGATTAATAATGAAATGAAAAGAGTAAATCTACTACAGTATTAACTTCTTAAATTATTGAGAATCCTGTTTACAAATAAGGCAGGGTAAAATGATCCAAATAATCAATTATCCTCACTAGGAATTTATAATTTCAATAACCGATCATCGAAATAGATAATCCATTATATGTCAAAGTTATATTTTCTCCTGTGTACCTGTTAACAAGTAGTAATCTTTTCCACATAGTTTCCCTTCAGCACATAACATACCCACAATAAACTATAATAACTGATCAAAACAAGAATATACTTCTATAACACATAACATACCCACAATAAACTATAATAACTGATCAAAACAAGAATATACTTCTATAACACATAGCATACCCACAATAAACTATAATAACTGATCAAAACAAGAATATACTTCTATGACACATAACATACCCACAATTAACTATAATAACTGATCAAAACAAGAATATACTTCTATAACACATAACATACCCACAATAAACTATAATAACTGATCAAAACAAAAATATACTTCTATAACACATAACATACCCACAATAAACTATAATAACTGATCAAAACAAGAATATACTTCTATAACACATAACATACCCACAATAAACTATAATAACTAATCAAAACAAGAATATACTTCTATAACACATAACATACCCATAATAAACTATAATAACTGATCAAAACAAGAATATACTTCTATAACACATAACATACCCTCAATAAACTATAATAACTGATCAAAACAAGAATATACTTCTATAACACATAACATACCCACAATAAACTATAATAACTGATCAAAATAAGAATATACTTCTATAACACATAACATACCCTCAATAAACTATAATAACTGATCAAAACAAGAATATACTTCTATAACACATAACATACCCACAATAAACTATAATAACTGATCAAAATAAGAATATACTTCTATAACACATAACATACCCTCAATAAACTATAATAACTGATCAAAACAAAAATATACTTCTATAACACATAACATACCGTCAATAAACTATAATAACTGATCAAAACAAGAATATACTTCTATAACACATAACATACCCACAATAAACTATAATAACTGATCAAAACAAGAATATACTTCTATAACACATAACATACCCACAATAAACTATAATAACTGATCAAAACAAGAATATACTTCTATAACACATAACATACCCACAATAAACTATAATAAAACTGATCAAAACAAGAATATACTTCTATGATACAAAAATAACTTGTGAAATTAAGAATTTTGGCATGTTTCTAATTTAGTATTTACAGGGTTTCTCAGGGATTATTAATCAAATATTGATCAGTAGCATGCGATACCCAGGTACCTTGTAAAATTAGATTACACTAGCTCCTACCGGTGTTTTGCCAATATGCTGTTGATTTTGGGTTTCGTTTTGCGAATCGTTAGTTCTTGGTTAATTTATTCACTTGATTTCAACTCCCTAGATTTGATATTTCTCAGAATATTTTTAAACTGTTGTGTTATTTTTTAGATGATACCAACAGTTAATATGATGATGAGTTGTTGGAATAAAACAGTCAATCCTCAAAAATCACATAAAAAATACACTCAGTCAGCAGGTAATATCTGATTGTTTCTTTATCTTATCTTCATTTCTTAAAATCTGTACAAGCAAGACAATTTCCTCAATATTCTTTATTCAGTTGTTAAACCCGACCCAGGGCTCTTTTTCTCAAAAAATCCTAAACCCCCCTCCCCAGAAAAGAGTCTGACCCGGCTTTGGCCCCCCTCACTTTCGAAATTTTTATCAATTTACACATTGAAAGTTGTTCTTCCCTGGTAAATTTTGTGGCCCTGCTCCTCCCCCTCATCTTATGTTTCCGAGAAACGCCACTAGTTCAAATATGTTTTCTCATTCTTCTTCAATTCAAAGGTTAAAGTTTGACCAAAGTGTGCTATTTCTCAGTAACTTCCTCACTCAAGCTTGATTATTGTTAGATTATTGAGAAACATGATCCTGATCCATGTTTATTTTTCATTTCACAGTTATGCCCCCTTACTCATGGGTCGTCCACTAATTCAGAACTTTTCTTATAAAATTATTTTTTCTATTCCAGCCTTGCCGAATATCTCAGCTACAGAACATCTTATTCTGATTGAACAGTTTTTATGTTTGAATCAACAACTGGTGCCAGATTTAATTGACCGTCATCCCGTTATTCTGGCAACACTGCTGGACGGCATTAGCAAGATCACTGGAGGTCAAGACGAGCAGAATGGGGACTCAAACGTTGATGAAACGGTCATTGAAAATGGCCAGGAGGATAACAATGATGAAACAATGGATGTAGGAGATGAATCTCAAGAAATCAAGATGGCCGACAAAGCAGACGACAATAAAATGGACGTTGACTGGGAAAATGAAGATGATGATCAGAAAGCTATTTTACAACTTTATCTTCTGAAAATCATTTCAGATTCCGATTCCAGGTTGTTACCATGGAAGAGAAAGGTACCTCAGTTTTATTTAAAGGGATTGTAACTATGTATATCAGGGACATGAAAGGGATTGTTCAGAGGATTTCTAGCTTGGGAACACTGATGTCATCAATTTGCACCATTCCAATTTTCTATCAGAAGTCAGTGGTTCCTGCAATTCCACATAAAGTTTTTTATCTGCAGGTTATTAGATTTGGCCAAATGAATTTCCTAAAGTAGTGCAAGAAACGGAACATCTGGCCGTGTATTCTCGAAACGATCTTAGGATGTCCTAGGTACTTATCTTCTAACATTGTTTCTAGGACATCCCAGGGCTAAGATCGTTTCGAGAATACATGGCCTGATTTGAATTTTGATCAGATATTAGGAATCTAAGGTTGTAATCAAATTGTTAAAGGCAGGTAAACACCTGGTTGTAAAATGTGGTTTTAGGTAAAACTGTTGTGATGTTTGTTATATCATATCGTTGATTCATGATTTGTTTGGTTTTAGGGTAAAAATAAAAAGAGTTTGATGTTCCAACTGTTGAATGTATTATCTGGTCCGGCTAGCCTCGCGAAAACAACCAGACAACTTATATCTAAGGTAGGATATATTGTTATGTTATTTTTCTTTTTAAGTGTGTACACAAATAGATTTGAAAAAATGTGATTGGTTTATAAAAATAGTTATAAAACCAATCAGAGTGGTTGACCAATGAGATGTAGATAATATTAAAAATAATTTTAAATTAAAGAGATTGTTTTACAGTTTGTTTATGTATTGCATTGTGGGCCATTTATACACTAATAATATGATTCCAGTCTACTGTAAGATATCTCTGGTTCCAGTGATTATAGAAATACTAAGCGTATATGACTAAAGCTGTCGATAGAATATTGATTTGAACATATTTTACGACACCAAATGTAAAAGGATTTGGCAAAAGTTACAAAAACTTACAAAACTGCCAAAACATATAACTGTCATATTTGTACAAAAACAGTTATATGTTGGAAATGGCAGTTTTGTATAGAATATAAGGGCTTTGTTATAGCTACGTACAAGTTAGATATGTCATGTTAAAAAATCTGTAGAAATCTAAAATATTAGCAGTCTCAAAATTTTATTGATATTTGTGATTTTGTATACGGTAATCTTCAGATTTAAATTTGATGTCATATTTCATTTTCAGATGTTGCGAGGAACTGGTGCTTTTGAGTCTGAAAACGGTGAATTAGATATTTGGTTGAAACATGCTACGCCTAGCAACAAGCACACCTCATATTTACCAGTTCTTGCCCAGATACTGAATCGTTATATCAGTAACTATAGCAACCATCAAGATAAATTAACTGAAATTTTGTCGTCTGATAAAAACAACTTTCCCTTTACTCCATTATTGATGGTTGCCATGGAGATGATAAAAAAGAAGGAAGACAACAGTGAAGGTATTTTTTCACAAAAAATTGAAAAATTTAGAATTAAAATTAACCAAATAAACAGCTTTGTAAACTCTCTGAAAAGGATGCTTGGTTGACAAACCTGAATACCAAAAAAACATAATTAGCTACGTGGACTCTCTGAAATGGATGGTGAATTGACACATACCATTTTCCTGATTACACCAATCAAATTAATGGTGGTCAGAGGTTCTAATCTCAGTTAGCGTGTGAATGTCTGGCCACTTGAATTAATCATCTCGTATATATATATGTAAATGGGTAGGCATACTAATAATCCAGGAAAGATCAATGCCAAGAGGTTTGACCAAGGACAAACTGAGACGATGCACGAGAAGTTGTTATCCTTGTAAAATCCTTGTCAAGAGGATTGGCCAAGAAACTGCTGGTTGACAGGATCCTTAAGAACCCTTGTCCTTGATAAGAATTCAAGGTTTTTTTTCTTGGTTTCAGATATAAAAGAGTTTATAGTACGAGTGGTACCAAGTATATATCATATTCAGTCTGAAACGAAGGCGTTACAACCTCTCTTTGCCACCTATAGTGATCAGTTAAAGGGAGTTAAATATTGGAAACCTCCAAAAAAGGTAAGGTTTTTTGGTGATAGTGGGGTAGTTCAGTCAGTAGCTAGTTGGATTGTTGTCTGCTAGAACAGTAGAATAGCTCAGTCAGTTGGAAGTTGGATTGTCGTCTGCTAGGGAAGTTAAGTAATTTATTGAAAGTAAATTTGAATTTTTATCTGCGATGACAGTTGGGTTGCTTAGTGAAAGGAATTTGATTGTCGTCTGCTTTGAAAAGTATGTGAAGCTTTCTGCTGGTTAACCTTGGAATTCTTGAAAAAAGTCCAAATTATCTGTTTCTTGTTTGCTATTGATGTGGTTCAGTAATGAATTTGATTTTCAATGTTGTGAAATTTTATTTTTCAGTCAAACTGTGATTTTCATCCAGTGTCCATATTGATGATGTCACTTCCTGGAGATTCAAAGACTGTAGAGGATGTAGAAGATGAAATAATAAGGGGAATGGTTACCATGGATACTGATGAATTAGTTTTATTTTCAAGACAGATATTATTATATCTGGGTGAAGCAATTCTACAATTTTCACAGGTAACAGAATTTTTAGATCTGAAATTTTATTTTGAACGCAATGAGATGTGAATGAATGCACCCTTAAAAGAGTTGTAAAGAGGTTTTCTAAATTGTGTTCGGTAAAAACCTGATGTTGAAATTGATTTAAACCAAAGGGAGAGAAATCTTTTTAACATTTTACGTGCTCTAAGGTATATAATAATTATATCAGTGAGTTTTAGTTTTAACAAATTTTTTTTAATTTTTTTTCAGAATCCAATAGTTTATGAAAAAACAATCAACTTTTACTTCAAACTTCTGCAAAAAATCTTGGCAGACGTCAAGACCAAAATGGCAACGGTGACATCATCAGAAAGTGACGGGAAAACTGATATGGAGAAACAGACAAAAACTTTTGGTGATTTTTGTGAATCGGAAAATTCAGAGAAAATAGTTCTCAAACATATTTTACTGAATAAATATCTGCAGACATCTTTTCTAGACTGTGTAAATTCCAAGAATGAAATTTCAGTTTCGCAAATTATTAGTCCACCACTTCTGCTGATCATTGAGAAAAGTTCCAGCTGCCTAGATACCGAGGAACTAGAAAAACTTAAGTATTCATACACAGACAAGATTTTCCAGAATTTAAAAGTGACTGGAAAATTGTCCAATCATGAAGCCATTGTGAAATGTTTAAGGTCGTTGATACCTCATTTAAATGAAAAATATCGTACACGATTTATTGATGTGATTTTAGGATTGTCGGATTCGTTCATCGTGAGTAAAAAAAGGCGGGAAATAACAGACGCAGGCAAATTAGTGATTCAGATTTTATCAGAAAAGTTGCAGACAGAATTTACATTGTTGCATCAACTCTCATTGGCGCAGACGTCAAAATTGCTCAACTGCCTGAAATTGGCTGAGGATGACAATTTGATTAAGTTCTGCTCAGAATTATTAGGAAAAAATCCTGCATTTTCATTGGCCTGTGATGAAGAACTGTGGCTCCACCTATTGGAGAATGATACAGACAAGATGTCAGATGTGATGGTGAAATTGTACGATAATAATTATGTTTGTCGGACATCGTTTCAAACCTGGATGTTAGAAAGTGGCGACTTTAGCAAGAATAAATGTAAGTTGGTATTTTTCTTTCTTTTAGGAATCACGAAACCTGTTTTACCGTATCTGTTACAGTTTGGAGAAATAGTGTCGGCTGTAGATAAAAATGAAGAAAAAAAATTAAGCATTAAGAGACTCCAGCATGTAAAAAATCAGCCATTATGTGTCATTCACTGCTGGTAAAAATGTAAAATGTGAAGACCAAATTTTTTTGTATATTTCAGGGTGTATAACAGTTAGAAACAGTGAAGAGTTGATATCACTGGTGTATACCAACTCCAACATTCTTCCGAAAATATCACAAGCTGTCGACAGGACAGATATAGATATAATAAAACAATTAGTGAACAGTGAGAAATATGGTAAGTTTTATAGATGATTGTAGCATCAGAGATATTTCTTGCCTTAAAATAAAAAAATAGCACATTGATGCTGCTGTCCTGGCAAAATTTTCCTCATTGCTCACTGCATGCTTTGCCTGTCTTCATTAGCCCAGTAAGGTAGAAAGATGGGGTGTGAAACTCTATTCTTTCATTTTGATTTGACAGCATCATAACACTGGCTTTATGGAATAAAATATATAAACCAAGTACTAATGATCAGAACTGCAAAACAAAAGCTGAAATCTGTATCAACACATTAGTGAAATGTAGCAGCCAATGAACTTTTCACTTTTGACTCCAATGTCTGGGGGTTTAAAATAGAATATACGCTAGTATAAAATGATGTTTTAATATTTTCAGGTAAAAAAGAAATGATAAAGATGTGGAAGTTTTTATCAGAGAGTATGTTAGAAACTGGTGTGGTAAATAGCCACCGTCTAGATTTATTACAAACATTATTTAATAAATTAGTTACCATAGATACTACTTACAGGGAGAAATTAGTAATTCTGTGTTTTAGAATCTTATTGATGAAGTCTCTGGATGAAAACATTAAATTCTCCCTCTTGGATTTAATTTCTGAAAACATTAAGGTAATACTAGATTGTCATAATTTTATATCTTTTGCACGTATAGTCAGTGATGTTATTATTTGGGGCCAGGGAAGTCCCCGCCCCCAATCTCCCCCCAAATTGAAGCTAGCCTATTTTGATCTTTGACCTACTAAGTGGAATATCGATGATTTTGTTGTGTAACGATATCCTTGGAAGCATCTAATTTGTCACTTTTACTGTCCTGTTACTAAAGGCCAAAACATTTAATTTTTGGTTTTCAGAAATTTACCCTGAGTATCTACTAGTAATTTGTTTTATTTGTTAATAGATGTTCAACCTTTCTAAATGTTTTATTGATGATATTTTAGATGTGTAACAAAGTTCATCTGGAAGATCTAGAAGAAATCTGGCCACAATTTGTCAAATCTTCGTTAAGGTTAGTTATATTGTCTGTAAAAATTATCTGGAGTCAAAATTATCTGGAGTCAAAATTATCTGGAGTCAACATTATCAGGACTTCTGACTTCCTGTAAGAATCATACATGTTGTATTCTATAAATTTATTATAAAAAAACACACCATAATCATTTTGTGTGTACCAACATTTGATCAGGATCTGTTAATCTATTTAGACTGTGATTTATTTCAGGCATTCTTGGCCTTCTTACTTACAGTTATTACTGATATTATGATGTCATTGATCATAACTACACAATGATCTTGTTAATACCCTATAAATGACATCAGTCTTATTCAACATGATATGATTTTCTTAAATTAACTATGATGGCATATACTGTATTTTCAAGAAACATTATGTAAATATCAGTGCCCCATGGTTCTCTGTAACAGTCTTTTAGATTATAATTTATTTATTTTCTAATCTATTTCAGGACAATGTATTTAGAACCCAAACTGATCAACATACTAATAGACTGTATTCCATTGGTTTATTACAAATCACATGACCAGAAACTACCAATCAAATTCTTGTATGACATGGTGATGAGTCATTCCAAATTTCTTGCTGTCATGTTTGGAGAGAAATCACAGGAAATTAAAGGTAAAATTCTTCTGTTCTTTTCAGAAACTCACTGGCTATTTGTACTGTCATGATGTGTGTTCTCTATGGCTGTTAATAACGGTACAGATAAGATAAGACACAATGGGCGAGCTAGTTTTGTTTTTGTTTTTTTTAACAGCTTGAAGCCATTTTGATTGTCAAGAATGATATTAAGTGACTTTGTTAGTGTTTTGATACGAATAGTCACGGCCGTTCAGAAATCCTTTTTAAACACTGATCTTCCAGAAATCTAATAAAAAGGGTAAATTTTAAACTTTTAAACAGAAAGGGATATTGATTTAGATAATACAGGTGATACTTGCTATTTGGGAAGATAAAATTAAAATTTTATTTTTATTATGATTTTGGTGTAATCATATCATGTTTTTGATGCGGCAGACAAGTTTTGGACATGAAATCTTCATCAGGTCAACTGTTTTGATCAAAATTTCCCTCATTGTACCCTGCATGGTGTTGCCCGTCTTCATTAGCCCACATGGTGCACAAAAGAAAGACGTAAAACTCCATTTATTTCATTGTTATTTTCGATGTTATTGTTTATTACTAAAATCTAAAAAAGCCATATCGTTGGATAATTGACCAATCATGTTAAAGACAAGGGAATTTTGTTGTATAATTTCAGGAAGTATGATCACCCTGTTATTATCTATAGCTGAGATTTCTACAGATTGTTATGATTCTAATAATATCAGAATATTCCTTGGAATCTACACAGCCTCACTTTCACTCTCAGGTAGGATTTTCGTTATTACTAGATTTCTTTATCCACAGAAACAGGGCTGTTGATTTGACTCTATTTTCCAGACATGTCTGCTAGACCAGATTAAATGTCCAGTATATTTTAGCCATTAGGTGTCATTCAATGTCTGTCGAAATAGAAAATTCCATGACAAATCAGTAATAATGATACAAAACCATCCATCACTGTGGTTAATACCTTTATTACCTACCTACTAATTCCTGTGGCAGGATTGTTAATTTGTTTAATACCTTGGTTCTCAACCTGGGGGACTAGGGTGTCAGGGGTGTGGCCAACTTTAGAACACCTCTACTTTCTATTCATATAAGTATTAGCATTTTCATTTTCATAAATAGAAATAAGGGAACCCATCTTTAAAACAAACCAATACTACAGATTACAATGTTTATAATTTGTATTTCAAGGTTGATAATTAGTGTTTTGTTGTTTTATCACTAATCTAAAATTTGAGAAATTATAATATTTTTTGTATTATTTAGATCAGAAATTATTAAAATTAATCAGTTTATATGAAAATAATTCTACAGTAGATTTAAACCAGTATCAGTAAGTTTTCTTATTTCTACTTCTCTTGACCAACTCTTCATTGGTTAAAGCTGAGGTCATCGAGTTAGGTCAAAAGGTTAATGTTTAAGAGACCCGTTGTTAGACCCTAACTGTACTGCTGCATAAGCCTTCTCTTTATAAGTTTCCAACTGATCTTTAACGAACTCACTCATTCTGAGCCCTCTTTTTCAGACCGTTCTTATTCGGGCAGAAAGCGCTAGATTTTTATTCATCCAAGAAATACCAGGCTCCGTCAATTTTACGCGAAACCAAGATGGCCGATCTGATTGACTGTTTGGACGAATCTCTTCTGTTAAAATCAGCCCTGAATTTTCCTCTGTATCGAGGCTTGGTGGTAAGTTTGATATAATTAATAATTAACTTGTAGAAAATACCTTTTTATGAAAGCTTAGTCAAATTGTGAATGCAACAATGTATCACAATTATTATTATTATTATCAAACTTAATGGTTTGAAAGTCATCACAGAACATTGTGATTCTTCGTGGATCATTTCAGGCCTAATAAACATGACTACCACCATACGATCAATCGTTCCATTGCAAATTTTTAACCTAAAATATATCACAGTATTTGATTGCAGCCATTATTTTCCAGGTTGTCGTGTGATCACATGATTCTGGGAGTTTAGAGTCTGGTCGTTGTTGACTATGAGTGTTTTGTATTCAGATTTACGGCAACAGCAATACAATACTTGTATCGAAATCACCATAACAACGCAAAATTATCTGCATAATAAATCTCAGTCTATACCATACTATATTACTCTACTAACGCAAAGACATAAATATAATGACAAAATTTCAAAAAACTTTTTACTTTGCTCGGACAATAATTTTGATATTTCAGCCATCAGAAGTGAAGAAAGTTGATAAAATAGGAGGAAATGAGGATTGTTATGATCCATGTTTCTTACTCCCAGTTTTTAATCAGCTGTTACAACCAGGTATAGTAATATAGTGTTTTATTACAACCAGGTATAGTAATATAGTGTTTTATTACAACCAGGTATAGTAATATAGTGTTTTATTACAACCAGGTATAGTCATATAGTGTTTTATTACAACAAGGTATAGTAATATAGTGTTTTATTACAACCAGGTATAGTAATATAGTGTTTTATTACAACCAGGTATAGTAAGATAGTGTTTTATTAAAACCAGGTATAGTCATATAGAGTTTTATTACAACCAGGTATAGTCATATACAACCAGGTATATTAATATAGTGTTTTATTACAACCAGGTATAGTGATATAGTGTTTTATTACAACCAGGTATAGTAATATAGTGTTTTATTACAACCAGGTATAGTAATATAGTGTTTTATTACAACCAGGTATAGTAATATAGTGTTTTAATACAACCAGGTATAGTAATATAGTGTTTTATTACAACCAGGTATAGTCATATAGTGTTTTATTACAACCAGGTGTAGTCATATAGTGTTTTATTACAACCAGGTATAGTAAGATAGTGTTTTATTAAAACCAGGTATAGTCATATAGAGTTTTATTACAACCAGGTATAGTCATATACAACCAGGTATATTAATATAGTGTTTTATTACAACCAGGTATAGTGATATAGTGTTTTATTACAACCAGGTATAGTAATATAGTGTTTTATTACAACCAGGTATAGTAATATAGTGTTTTATTACAACCAGGTATAGTAATATAGTGTTTTAATACAACCAGGTATAGTAATATAGTGTTTTATTACAACCAGGTATAGTCATATAGTGTTTTATTACAACCAGGTGTAGTCATATAGTGTTTTATTACAACCAGGTATAGTAATATAGTGTTTTATTACAACCAGGTATAGTAATATAGTGTTTTATTGCAACCAGGTATAGTAATATAGTGTTTTATTGCAACCAGGTATAGTGATATAGTGTTAAAGCATACATTGCGATTAGTGATGTCATCAAACACTTACTTTTTGTGGAATTGCTGAAACCACAGACATCTGATTGATGCAAATTGATGCTATTATTGTCTGCGATTTTTAAAAAACCTCTTTAGAATCCTTTTAATATGATGAACATCCAATCTTACCCTCAAGTATATTCCTGAAGTATATTGTTACTTGTAATCTTTCTTCATGTCTCCCCTTAAATGATTAATATTAATATTATGTTTGTTATTTTAGGTGTTATAGTAGATTTAAAACAGTTTATTACCTCCAACTGTCTGGGGTTTGTATTGGCTGGATTGAGTAGTCATGTGACCAGTGTACGTCAAGCCTGTTATCTTATATTAAAACAATATTATGACCGACTGTCTACAGCTACATTCCCCGAGGTTGAAGAAATAAAGTATCTGTTAGAGTTATTACGAGGAAGTATTGAAACTCCCAGTATGAAACTCTGTACTGTTATTACTGTGTTTTTATCCAAGATGGCCAAACTTCTTCTTAGTCCTGGTAAGATTTCAGATTTATTTATACTTACCGGTAGTATCTTTTATTTTAAGAGATTGTAAAGAGTTTCTCTAAAAAAAATTTTATGTGTATCAGAAACACTGATAGCATCAATTTACAATTTTCAATCAGACGTCTGTGGTTCTTGTTAAAGAGATTGTAAAGAGGATTTCTAAATTTTGTATGTGTATCAGAGACACTGATAGCATCAATTTACATCATTCCAATCAGACGTCTGAGGTTTCATCAACCACTTTGCTTTGGTGGACTTGTTAGAAACACGGACGTCTATTTGAAAATTAGTATCATCGTCCCTGATACACATAAAAAGTTTAGAAAATCTCTTAACTATCTCTTTAGGTCAAAGGTACACAAATGTATTTTTTTTTCCACAATGGCAGGAAATTTGCAGGTGTGCCCATTCCTGATGATGAGGATTTCATACATCTGCATCAAATAATTAGGTTAGATATTTTCAGCCTATTATTGGTAGATCTATTCGCTTGTCTGCCGATGTCTGGCGTATTTGGTCAATTGAAATTTTTAAACCAATTGGATGTGATGTTCAAAATGGCTGGTCAGTTAAACAAAATGTCTGTTTTTTTAACTACTATAGCAACTTTATTTGTTTCAGAAAATCACATGTATAAAAGTTTAACGACATTTTTAATGTCAAAACCAACATTAGAGTTTGACAGAATTCCTGGTTTTTACAGATTCTTTAATAGTTCTGAATTAGACGTAAGTTTCAACTTTGATTTAGTCTAGAGACTTGTATCTTAACGAGCTTTGTCTTACTCTGCACCGTTAGTCGTGTTTGTTATGTTGAGCAGCTATGAAGGGTTTTCTTACTCTTCTAGACTCCTGATACCACTTTTCATGATGAAATACTTACTTACTCATGATTGATACAGTATTGAAAGGCCAGGCAGGGTATTCTTACTCTTCTAAACACCTGATATCACTTTTTACTATGAAATACTCACTCATGATTCATGTACTTCCTCATGTGAAAAATCCATTAGCAGTTAACTATTTATTCTATTTCGTGATTTTCTCTTAGGTTTTCCTGTAATGTTTTCCCTGCTAGAAACTATAGCCTGACTGAATAGAACGACTTTCATTATGATGGTCTACATTTTTATACAAGACTAAAAATACCCTCCAAATATTTCACAATTACCTCCGTGCTTTAATTAATGTTGCTATGTATTACTATATAATATATTATATTATATTACAGCATCATCAAGAACGTCAGTGGATGTTAAATATGATATTAGACGGGTTACGAACCTATGATGATTTTAGAATCTATGAAACATTATACAGTTTTAAATTATTACAATCTTATTACCAGAGTTTACTCAGTGATCTTCATAGTCAGGTTTTTATATTTTCATTCTTTTAACTTTTACTTCAAAAACTTTACTTTAATGTTCCAGTCATCTGATTGGTCTATACGCCTACCTTAAACATTGATTTTAGGTTTATCATCCAATCAAATCACTGTATTTCTTTAACCTAAGTTATTCTAGTGTAGCTGATTGGTTCATCTGTCAACCAATCAAGCTATTGTTTTCCTATACCGTCCGTCCGTCCACATTTCTTGTATGCACGATAGAGGCTACAGCTTTTATCTGATCTTGATGAAACTTTGTATGCATGTATGTATTAATGAGATCTCGGTCAAGCTCGAAATTGGTAATAATCGGATGAAGCGTTTAAGAGTTATTGCCCTTGACTTAGTATAAATGTGTTAAATTTGCCTTGTATGCCCGATGACGGCTACAAATTTGATCCCATCTTGATGAAACTTAGTATGCATGTCTATATTGATGAGATCTCGGTCAGGTTTGAAATTGTAATTATTGGATCATCTATTTCAGGGTTGTTGCCCTTGACTTAGTAAAAAAACACTTCAAATTTGGCTTGTAGGCTTTCTATAGACTACAGTTTTTATCAGATCTTGATGAAACTTGAAAATATATTGATGAGATCTCGGTCAAGTTTGAATTTGGTCTTAATTGGATGGAATTTTTTAGAGTTATTGCCCTTGAATTAATTCAGTGCATCTAATTTGGCTTGTAGTCTTTTAGAGACTATATTTTTTATACGATCTTGATGAAACTTGGTATGAGATCTGAGTAAATCTTGAAATTATTAACAATCGGTTGATTGGTTTCACATTAAACCACTACAGACTTTGTTATCATTTCTGACAGCTGGTAGTAGGCGTATGTTACCTTGCCTTGCAAGCTATCTTTAATATATTTCAGACTATAATATTAAAGATTATTAACTCAGTGTGTATAGATATAGAAACTATCACTGTATTATATGAGAAACATGGTATATTAACCTGGTTTCTAGGTGTTATTCTACAACTGTAAGTAATATTAAATCATTAAAGATTGGTTCCCATATTTTCATATGGACAATTTTGATTGGTTAAAACTCTTAATTATATGCAGTAGCTACAAGAGTTTTGTATTTTATTTATGAAATCCAGCAATAGGAAATATTATTTCTTTGTTTATTATTATAAATTTCATTTTGCAAAAATATAATGAATTAATATAAATTAATTTTAACTTTCCATATATCATTCTAAATAGATTCGGCTTATTGTAATTAAATACGTAACTATTGGTCAGTAAATTAAAATATACCTTCACGTCATTTGGTAACGTAAACAAACATGAAGACTAAATTTAGTTACACATAGTGGATTTGAGTTTATTGTATTCTCCAAGCCTTTTAAGTCCTTTGCAATCCAGATTTAAATTAGTACATTTGGAAAATCAAAGCCAAGGAGTAGAATTCTTTAAAGTTATTATCTTTGTAACGTTGTTTTCTTTTCTTTATTAAGAGGTTTTTTACTAACTCTGTTAAATTTATAAATATATTTTGGAACTGTTTCAGGAAACCAGGATCATGTCATGTGACTTTAATAACAGAAATATTCCATAATATCTGGTTCACCATACAATCACAGCTTCCTACTGACAGTCTGGTTAATATTCCTATACAGTTTTTATACCAGATCATCCAGTGTCTTAGACATTTAATCACTAAACTTGGGTCAGTATAATTTATATTAATGATGGCAACTCTTTTTAAGAAACAATCTACGAGGATTGAAAAGACTGAAGTTAAAATATTAGGTTTATTTATTAAGGGGCCCGGACACCATGTTGTAACTGAGTAATGTTGTAACTGAGTAATGTTGTAACTAAGTAATGTTGTAACTGAGTAATGTTGTAACTGAGTAATGAGTAACATTTGAAACTTATGACCACTTTCATTATTTACAACCATACTCAACTAGTAATCACTATGGTGTAAGGAAAGCGAAAAAGAGCAGGCAAATGCCACTGTCCTGTCAAAATTTCCCTCATTGCACCCTGCATGGTAATGCTTATCTTCATTACCTCACATAGTTCAGAAAAGTAGGACGTAAAACTCCATTCATTTCATTTTTTATTTTTTATGGTGTGTTTTTAATTAGTAAGAAAACATATTTCTAAAAATTAAAAGGCCCAGAGAACTAATTCCTGACAAACTTGAAGTGCCACAATCTATATATCTTTTTGATTTTGTACAAAGACACTGTGAATGAATCAATTTCTGCTGAACTGAAGAAGATTTTTGATTGGGCCCAGCCCCACGGACCCAGCCCCAACAACGGGACTGAAGTCATTTCCAAAAATAAAAACTTTCTAAAAATCTTATTTTCTATTTTCAGCTCTGAAGATGCTGTCTCATTCCACAAAATCATGAAAGTTCTGAGTTCAACTTTAAAATATTTTAAAATAGTTCAACATGACACCCACTTGTTCCTGATGAAGTTTGACAACTTGGCGTTAAAAGACATAGCGATGATTCTACTATGTCTAGGAAAGTTCAACAATGATATTGTGATGTTCCATCAGGCCCAGCATCTGCTGACATCAATCAATGTTGACGTAATGAAGTTGTTGCCTAGCGCTGTCGCAGCTGCTGCTGCTGTCAAAAAATGGCAGCCATCAAATCCCACAAATAACAATGAAGATAAGTTTGGTACGAAGTCTGAAAATTTGAAATTAGAACCAGAGGAAAAATCTATCAAGAACGGAGATCGAAAACTGAATCATAGCCTTGACCTTCAAGCAATGTATAAAAAGGTCAAGGTCAATCAAACTGAAAATGTGTCAGAATTAATCGAAATATTTTTAACATGGAATCCTGGGAAGGATGTTGATGATGGAACGACGTCTGCTGCAGGATTTCTCCTAGTTATGACCTACTTAATGGACAATTGTACCAAGGTCAAGGACAAGCAATTGATTTTGAAAATTCTGGACTGGTTAGGTTCAGTTATGTTCCGAAACAAATCACAAAATGGTGGTTTTGTTATTTTTGACGACAAAAACTTTTCTAAGATGTGTAGATCTGTTTTGACAGCAGACGATGATTTCATTCGTAAAATCACAGATAAATTATTATTTTTATATTCCTATGGCAACATCTTATCTGACAACAAACAAAACATAGACACAAAAATAGGAAGTAAATCTCAGAGTTCTGATCCAAAAAGTGAAAATTCATCAGATTTAAGATCCAAAGATATGAATTTTTCTGATGAAAAAGATTCTAGGAAAGAAAATTCTAACGATGATTTAAAAGAATTGATTAATTGTGGTTTGATTGGAAAATTGAATAAAATCTTGATGTTACTGATGGAAATATCCATTGAAAAATCCGAGGATAAAACTAGGAAAATTTGGAAGAAAAGTTTGAAGAGAGTAAGAAAGGTAGAGAATGAAGGTAAGTTACTGATGAGATATTTTGGTAATAAACTAGTGTCCAAAAGAAACGATACCAACTTATTTTCAAAATTGTTTTTTACTAAGTGAATTGTCTAATATGAAAACATGCCAATTCGTATTTCACATCCCAAACACCGCATAGTCGATAAAAATACCGGGAACACGTGATCACTTCCGGGAAAAAACGTAAATTTCGTGAAAGTGACATTTCCCTCTCTAGCATGTTTTGCACGTGCATAAAAACTGTATAAAACAGCTGATCAGACACGTTGATATCACAGCAACAAAAAGAACACAAGATATGCCACTTTTGACAGCCATCGAGAGAGAGAGCCGTTGGAATGGTCCAACAAGGAGCGACACACGTCGACGTCGCCAGAAGGTTAGGCTGCGCACGCATCACTTTCACCAGGTTGATGCAGCGGTTACGTCAGACAGGTCAGACGTCAGACAGGCCCAGGAGTGGAAGACCACGAGTAACCACGCCCCATTAAGTTCGGTACATTCGGGTATTACGACTGAGGAACCGCACCGTAACGGCGACGTCCACGGCGGCTACAGCACTGGGACACAGGATCAGTCGACAGACCGTCTACAGGAGACTACGGCAGTATGGTATCCGGCCACGTCATCCCTACCGCGGACCGCTCCTGACGCCTCGACACTGGAACAACAGACTGATCTGGACCAGGCGAGTTCGACGTTGGCAACGGCGGGACTGGGCACGTGTTATGTTCTCTGATGAGAGCAGATTCCTCATCTTCAAAAACAATGGACGGCAGCTTGTATACCGCCGATTTGGTGAACGTTTGGCGCCTAACTTTATCCAACAGGTCCGGTCGTTTGAAGGTGGAGGTTTAATGGTTTGGGGTGGCATATGTGGTGACGTCAAAACGAGGCTTGTCGTAATTCGTGGAAACCTGAATGCACAGCACAGCATGACATCCTACGGCCTGTTGTGGTGCCCTTTATTCAGCAACAGCCTCGTGGACTCCTTTTCCAACATGACAATGCAAGGCCACACACAGCAAGATTGACACAGAACTTCCTTGCCAACGCCAACGTACAGGTTTTGCCATGGCCCGCATGTTCACCGGACATGAATCCCGTCGAGCACTTATGGGACCACCTCGATCGGCAAATTCGACTTTGCCGTGTGCCAAGACTTGGAACGATGTCTTCTCGAGGAATGGCAACGAATCACTCCCAACGTCATCAGACGTTTGACGGCATCAGTCCGTAGGCGTGTTCTGGCATGTATTGATGCTCACGGTGGACATACCCGCTACTGACTTGGCTTTGTGACGTGTGGTGTGACATTTCCCGTTGTTTCTGTGATCAGTGCTCTAACGAAATGTTCTTTTTTCGACCCCACCCATCTTTAAAGGCTTGTCATATTGGTTGTACAGATTTTATTGAAATGAAATTTTTGTACAGATGTTGTGAAAGGATTTCTCAAAAGCATAACTCCAATCCTAAACTTCTGCATTGTTTAGTTTTTCTTTTATGTCGTTGCAAACAGGTGGTATCGTTTCTTTTGGACACTAGTTTATTTGTTGGTGGATTCCAGGCCCCCATTTCTAAATATAAATTGTAGAAAGTATCAAACTTAAAGTGATACATCATCTTAGAATGAATATAAAATTTAATTCTCAAGAATGGTCAATATGAGTATATATCAGTGAACTTACCTGGTGTCATAAAGTTACAACAGAATCCCTGGAAAATCTAGAAAATTGGAAAATTCATAAAACTAAGTAATTATTGAAAAAAGCTAAATCATAATATTAAGAGTTTTTCAATAGTTAATTGTATATTTATGGATAATTACTAAGTTTTTTGGATTTATTGGATTATATAAGGATCCTGTAATGTTATTTATGACACCAGATATATCTACTGATGAATATATACTCTTATTGGCCAAGTTTAAAATTTTTAAATGTTATGTTCATTCTAAGATGTAGTATTCTTTTAAACTAGGAAAGCTGGAACTAATGACAGAATTTTATATTATGATATGAATGCAAGTTCAGTTGTTTCACCTCAATCTTGATAAAGTTTAGGCTTGATTTAAATCTAAAAATCTATATGCAATGATTGGTTAGTGTAATCTATAACCAAAAATACAACTCATCTTCCAACTACTCTAATACACTGGACCCAGTTTTCAAAATTTCTACATTCACATAAAAGCAGTGGCAATGCAATTTACAAATGAATTAAGACAGAAGGGAAGTAATGAATTTGAGGCAGTCCAGTTAAGGGGGAACATGGTTTCACTGAGCCCAGTTTTTTAAAAATTTCTACATTGCTTGGTCCTTTGTCAAACAATAAATTAAAAGGAGGCCTAGATGGATTAAGAATACATACATTGTAATTGAAAAAAGAAGAGTTGCAGAATTTGGTGGTTGTTTCAACAGTGAGACTCATTTGGATCCATTTTGAAAGATCTATTTGTAGTACCAATTGTAGGTATACCTCAAGTATGATTTGTATTTTTGAAAAGAGTAACACTGGGTGATATATTTTTTTCAGAGAAAGACAATCTAACTACAGTTTTAATACAGGAATATTTCCTAGGAGTCGACCAACCAGAAACCTTCGATAAGCTTTATAAAACCTGCTCACTAAAAACAGGTGATGTTACCATGGATACTAGTATTATTGGAACGTGAAAATAATTCTTTTCAAAAAACAAAAATATAACAAAAATTTCAATAAACATCATTGAAAGAATGATCTGTTCCGTCTTTAATAGTAGAAGTAGAAGCTTCTGTTGTTTGAATGAACTCGACACTCTTTTCAGACAACTCTGCACTTATGGTTTCATATTTTTGATCCAAAATGAGAAGCCGGAGGGGTATGACAGTGGCTGCTGTGTGGACAAATGTCTTTTTGGTACAACTCTCCACTAAGGGTTTTCATATTTTGGTCCAAAATTAAAAATGTGAAGCTGGGGGTATGACAGTGTCTTTGGATGTATATCATTTTGGTACAACACTACACTAAGGGTTTTCATATTTTGGGTCCAAGTTCAAATTTAAAACCACAATAAGAAACAATTTAATAATAACAGATATAAATAGAACATAATGTGATAGATATCCCTTATTTCTTCCTAGAGAGACGATTACTGCTGGCACGTTTCGGACTCTCACCTGGTGATGAACCATCTGGCCTCATTCTGTCTTTCTTGGATTTGGGTGGTGATTCTGCTGAAAGACAAGATTGTTAGACCTACTTTTACCCTTCAGAGGGGATGACAGTAAAAAAGCATCTAGTCGTTAAAAAAAGGACAATAAACCATGGCCCTGTGTGTTACAGGCTGTGCAGTTTTAAGATCTACGACAGTTGTCCTGGCAAAATTTCCCTCATTGCAAACTTCATTAGCCAAATTAGGTGCAGAAATTCATTTCATTTCATTCATAAAAATCATACAAGATTGGTAGACCTACTTATACAAGATTGGTAGACCTACTTATACAAGATTGGTAGACCTACTCATACAAGATTGGTAGACCTACTCATACAAGATTGGTAGACTTACTCATACAAGATTGGTAGACCTACTCATACAAGATTGGTAGACCTACTCATACAAGATTGGTGGTCCTACTGTTACAAGATTGGTAGACCTACTGTTACAAGATTGGTAGACCTACTTATACAAGATTGGTAGACCTACTCATACAAGATTGGTAGACCTACTTATACAAGATTGGTAGACCTACTCATACAAGATTGGTAGACCTACTCATACAAGATTGGTAGACCTACTCATACAAGATTGGTAGACCTACTTATACAAGATTGGTAGACTTACTCATACAAGATTGGTAGACCTACTTATACAAGATTGGTAGACCTACTCATACAAGATTGGTAGACCTACTCATACAAGATTGGTGGTCCTACTGTTACAAGATTGGTAGACCTACTGTTACAAGATTGATAGACCTACTTATACAAGATTGGTAGACCTACTCATACAAGATTGGTAGACCTACTGTTACAATATTGGTAGACCTTCTTATACAAGATTGGTAGACCTACTTTTACAAGATTGGTAGACCTACTCATACAAGATTGGTAGGCCTACTTATACCAGATTGGTAGACCTACTCGTACAAGATTGGTAGAACTACTTTTACAAGATTGATAGACCTACTTATACAAAATTGGTAGACCTACTTATACAAGATTGGTAGACCTACTTTTACAAGATTGGTACACCTACTTATACAAGATTGGTGGACCTACTTATACAAGATTGGTAGACCTACTTTTACTAGATTGGTAGACCTACTCATACAAGATTGATAGACCTACTTTTACTAGATTGGTAGACCTACATATACAAGATTGGTAGACCTACTCATACAAGATTGGTAGACCTACTTTTACAAGATTGGTAGACCTACTTATACAAGATTGGTAGACCTACTCATACAAGATTGGTAGACCTACTCATACAAGATTGGTAGACCTACTCATACAAGATTGGTAGACCTACTCATACAAGATTGGTAGACCTACTCATACAAGATTGGTAGACCTACTCATACAAGATTGGTGGTCCTACTGTTACAAGATTGGTAGACCTACTGTTACAAGATTGGTAGACCTACTTATACAAGATTGGTAGACCTACTCATACAAGATTGGTAGACCTACTGTTACAATATTGGTAGACCTACTTATACAAGATTGGTAGACCTACTTATACAAGATTGGTAGACCTACTTTTACAAGATTGGTAGACCTACTCATACAAGATTGGTAGACCTGCTTATACCAGATTGGTAGACCTACTCGTACAAGATTGGTAGACCTACTTTTACAAGATTGATAGACCTACTTATACAAGATTGGTAGACCTACTTATACAAGATTGGTAGACCTACTTATACAAGATTGGTAGACCTACTTATACAAGATTGGTAGACCTACTTATACAAGATTGGTAGACCTACTTTTACAAGATTGGTACACCTACTCATACAAGATTGGTAGACCTGCTTATACCAGATTGGTAGACCTACTCGTACAAGATTGGTAGACCTACTTATACAAGATTGGTAGACCTACTCATACAAGATTGGTAGACCTACTTATACAAGATTGGTAGACCTACTCATACAAGATTGGTAGACCTACTCATACAAGATTGGTGGTCCTACTGTTACAAGATTGGTGGACCTACTTATACAAGATTGGTAGACCTACTTATACAAGATTAGTAGACCTACTTTTACAAGATTGGTAGACCTATTTTTACAAGATTGGTAGACCTAATGATACAATTCAGGAATATGAATTCACAATGTCTGATTAAACTTACCCGGTCTCTTGCCCTTCTCAACTTGATGTTTTAACTTCTCTGAAAAATCAACAAAATAAAAGAGTTCAATTCTATAAGGATACAGATTCTATTTTAAATTTCAGTCTGTTGTAGATGTTAAAGAGTTTCTAATCTAATGACTTATTTGTTTATTTAATATTCGAGGGAAAATAGTGGTCATGATGCTGTCTTTCCACATTATTCTATTAATACCAGCTGTAAATGAGTATTGATAATCTTGGAAAATCAATGTTCAGAGGTTGGGTCAAGGACTCACTGGTAGACAGTATCCCTGAGAACCTCAGTTGTTATCCTTGTAAAACCAAGAGGTTTGGTCTAGTACCAGCTGGTGGTCAGGATCATCGAGAATCCAAGTTGTTATCCTTGTAAAATCGTTGTCAAGAGGTTTGGTCAAGGACTAGCTGGTAAACAGGATCCTAGAGAACGTAAGTTGTTATCCTTGTAAACATTATTACCAAGAATCAGCCGGTAGAAAGGATCATCGAGAACCCAAGTTGTAACTCTTGTAAAATCATTGCCAAGAGGTTTGACCAAGAAACAGCTGGTAGACAGAATGCTCGAGTACCAACTAAATATGTAGATTATTATGGATGCTGATAATATAAGAGACATCATTACCAAATTTGGCCAAGAAGAAACAAAAAAGAACTTAAAAGGATCCATGAAGAGATTAGTTTCAATATGTTTCGCCAAGGATCAGCTGGTAGGCAGGATTCTCAGGGATTTTTACCCTTGTAATAAAATACAAAATCGATATCTTACTTTCTAACACGGGGTATTTTTTCTGCCAATCGTTGAGCAGGGGAGAAAAATTCTTCACTGTTTTATCATTGACTCCTATTATAAACAGAAAAAAACAGAAACCCATTAAATTATATTTGCCAAAGGCTTTTGTTGTTTGTACGGCCGTAAGGGAGAGAGAGATTAAGTCACGTTTAGTTTCCAGGACTACTGGTATATAGATAGCCCGTGGGGTGGGAAGACGAGAGAGAGAGAGGGGAGGGGGTGTTAAATATTAACTCACGTTTAGTTTCTAGGACTACCGGTATATAAATAGCCCGTGGGGTGGGAAGACGAGAGAGAGGGGAGGGGAGGGGGTGTTAAATATTAACTCACGTTTAGTTTCTAGGACTACTGGTATATAAATAGCCCGTGGGGTGGGAAGACGAGAGAGAGGGAAGGGGTGTTAAATATTAACTCACGTTTAGTTTCTAGGACTACCGGTATATAAATAGCCCGTGGGGTGGGAAGACGAGAGAGAGGGAAGGGGTGTTAAATGTTAACTCACGTTTAGTTTCCAGGACTACCGGTATATAGATAGCCCGTGGGATCAGTAAGTGGGCCAGGTTTTCCATGGTTGGTTTGTTTGGTAAATGTAGTAAAGTTCCGTTTTCATCACAAATATCGAGAGTTCCTGCAAATTAAAATCTAGAATCAGATCTGGTCTAATAAGATGAGAAGTAATGCCTGCAACACACGGGACCTCGGTGAAGCTGGGTTACGATCCGGTTTACAAAGATCTAGATTATACCTTCTGATTTTTCAAGCCTGCAATGCCCCTAGGTGAGCTATCTTTAAACTTATTTTCATCCAGAAATATTTAGATTCCGCTATCCTCGTCAGACTTACGATTTTTTGAGAAACGCCATTTACGATCAAATCAACACTTACGACCTACGACTGATCGTAACTGTAATATTTTTTGAGAAACGGGGCCCAGAGCGTTATCGTAACTTTCACAGTAGGCCGTCGTTTGGTCTATTTATTGAAAAAGATCCTGTTTATACGACGGTACCATTACCTTCAAATTCAAACTTGCATTCAGCCTTGATATAATCAACAAAATTTCTACAAGAACAGTTTCCATTCAGCAGGAGACATTGTGAATCTGAAATTGAAAATTCAAGAAAATGATTCTTTGACGGATGTCGTCCATCAGGAGTGACAATAATACCACAACTAAACCATGGGTCAAGAAGCCAAAATGATTTATATTTGCTTGATCTTTGGTCCTTACCGAACTAAGAGTCGGATATCTTTGTGGCCATTAGATCCTGGACGAGCCGAAATATTTTGAGCCTCAGCTGTCTGAAGTCTTGTCATTCCGTGACCTCTCATTCGGCACATAATTATGGTGTTTCGCCCTTCTCCGATATCACAACGGAAAGTAGGGAAAAGATTGCAAAAGTTTCCCTTTTTGGCCTAGTCGACCTTGGTGTTACTTGGTAAAATGTTTAAAACGCAGGTTAACTAGCAGGCAATGAAGTAAACACTCGATCGTGATTTAGGACCTGCTAGTGCCAGATCCCTGGGAAACGAAATGGGTGCGACCTAATTACCTCCGTAAAGTAACGAGATCAACATCACTAAAGAAATAGCTATTCTATTCTTAGAACAAATCTAAACACCGAGGTCAAAAAAATAAACATTAGGATGAAGGCCAAGTTAGAGAAGATAACTCTAACAGTCTTTGGTTAAAGGAGAACAACTCTTGTTTCTTACATTATAAATCAGGCCACAATATAACGTCTGGATTTCATAATGTTTCATGTAAACATGATATTTATGTATATATTTCTATCTTTTTTTAGTAAGGTCTATTAAACTTCTGCCGTATTCATAACTATTCAACCCCATTGTAGTCTCATTCCACTGAATACTGCATAAATACCTTTATATGTCCAGTACAGTATTTGAAAGCCGTCTAGTACAGTAGAGCCTAGTCGTCTAGTACAGTATTGGAAAGCCGTCTAGTACAGTATTGGAAAGCCGTCTAGTATAGTAATGGAAAGCCGTCTAGTACAGTATTGGAAAGCCGTCTAGTACAGTAGCACCTAGCCGTCTAGTACAGTAGCACCTAGCCGTCTAGTACAGTATTGGAAAGCCGTCTAGTACAGTATTGGAAAGCCGTCTAGTACAGTAGCACCTAGCCGTCTAGTACAGTAGCACCTAGCCGTCTAGTACAGTAGCACCTAGCCGTCTAGTACAGTATTGGAAAGTCGTCTAGTACAGTATTAGAAAGCATTGGCCCGCGATGATGTATGAAGTCGTCAGGGGCTATCTAGAAATTGCCTCAGGAGAGTACCAAAAATAAGAGGTTGCCCTCCTAGGCGAGACCCCTTGGATCTGGGGACAGCAAGAGACCCCCCAAGAGCTAACGAATTTCAGATGGCTTGACATGAATTTTGAGCGTATTCATGGCTTAATTTTCACATCAAAATAGGCAGGAAACCTAATGGTCTTCCCTCACCCCTAAATACACTAAGTCGTGTATAGTCCGGGTTAGAATACTGGGCAAACTTTTTCTTTATTTTTATCCATGTCAGTTGATATATAATCCACCATGAATGTCTACAAATGTCCATGAACACAGCTGATTTCGAATCGAAAGTAAAGTCATTCTGGTTACAGAAAAGTAATTGGAACTTGACCGGAAGGGAAGAGAGGCAGAAAACTGTTGGATACGGGTAATGTGTTTTCAGTCGAGAAAATTTCACAAAAAATACTGACATAGATAGACTCATTACATTTAAGATGACAAAGATTTTTCAGCCCTTATTTAAAAAAACAAAACGTCAGAACCCCGTTTCCCATTTTGAAAAGGTCATATGTGCAGTGGCGCAAATACCATAGAGACTGGTTGAACCACGCCCACGGTCTTCAACCCTAAGGAGGCCCCCATCCCAAGAAAATAATGCAGGATAGCATGTTAAAATAATTCCCCGTCCACGACCCCCACTCATCTAGCGAGTCACTGTATATGTATATATAAGATTTTGTAAAACGAGAGTGTATAAGCCTAAAGTATGGTAAGAAGATCTCTAGAGTCCTCAACCTATTATTTACTGTAATGAAATCTAGGCCTACCATGGTCCAGTAAACATCAACACTCCAGATTAAAAACACACTCATTTTTATTTCGTCTCTAATTTCGACCCCCTTTTCTCTCGGTAATAAAAACAAGTTGGTGTGGGATGGGTGCAAGGTTTTAATGAATGATACAAAAATAGACATCTTTTATTCGTGATTTGTAAGAAAATTTTGCATTTCAATGAAGAGGAGTGGACTGTTTCAGTTTTAACGCCCTTAAATATTGTCAACTTTAATTCTCATTCTCCCTAACATTTTTCACATTCTTTACCCCTGCTTCTTGGCCTCTAGTTTAATAGAGGGAATCGCTCACTCAAGTTTTCTTCCTGATTTTATTCTTAAAGCTATCATGTATTGATTAAGTAAAGTTATAAAATATAAAACTTAAAAGAGTAAAATGTTAAAGGGATTGTATAAAGGTTTTCTGAATATGTATCGGGGAAATTAATAGCATCAATTTGCGCCATTACAATTTTCAATTTGATGTCTGTGGTTCCTGCAATTCCAATCAGATTAAAATTAGACCCAACTTTCGTTTTTATTTTCAGTATAGTCTCACTTCACAGTAGGGCGTAACGACCGTAGTCTTGCACATCCGTCAAATAAACCTTTTGACCTAACCTTCTTTAACTAATCAAATTTACGCCTTCTCCAGTGGTGGCGTTTTGCGACGCGATCAAAAGGTGTATTTTCAGGAGCAATAGATTAGTTTATCAAGTCCATTAAAAGTGAAAACACGCCTTTTCATTGGATGTTCCGAATTAACCCACTTAAATTTGATTGGTTAAAGCAGGTTAGGTCAAGGTTTTATTGTACACAACGTTTCAACAATTTACATTGTCATCATTCAGTGAAAATACAATTATGATGTATTTTTTATCTTGAATTTTTGTGTACACACCGTTTCACCAATTTACATTGTAATCATCAGGTGATAAGAGGAAATGTACAATGCTACGACATAAAGATATTTTCAAAACTTGTGAATTTCACTTTAGCCAGAACATGGTAGCTTTAATAAGATAGATCCCACTGTGTATTTATATCTCTCGATGGATCTCATCGAAAACTTATTCAAAAGTCTCCTAGCGACTTGAAATTATCACTAAGTACATCTTGTTGTAAGGGTATAGGCTAAATAAAAAATTCGAGTTTACGGTACAGATATATATATATTCTTTGTACTTTATATTCTATATACTTTGTATTTGCTTACAATATTATTTCTTAATAAAATAGTTTATACCTGGCCACGCCTTGATTCTAGATGGCGGGTAATATCACGAGCATTGATTCTATTCAATAAAATACGACACTTAGTCAACAATATGGATTTTATTTCATCGAATTTAATTTGAACACATTTTGGATTATTTTGTACAAGTGTGGGATTATCGTCGAAACGTTGTGGAATATTATCTTTCTAAAAGTAAGTACGTATATAGACAAATTTTTTGGATGAATACATGTAAACTTTAAGTTTATGTTTACCACACTAGGTGTTTGAACAGGAGCCAAGGGGGCACATGGTCACATCCGAACCAAGCCCCCCACTCCCCTCTCTCACACACACTATCAAATGTCTTATTGAACAAGGGCAAAGAATAATCGCCTGTGATACCCCTCCCTCCCTCTTGACAATTCATTGGACCCTACTCCACCCCTCACCCAGTGATTCTTACAAACATCATATTGCCCTAAAAGCCCATTTAATATTTCGCCTATATTCAAACCTATTCATACCTGTGTGATTTTGTATGATGATTTTGTCAGTTGATATTTTATTGAGTGATTTATGATAATCAAGGTAGAAAGAATAGTTGTACAAAATAATTGAATTAAAAATTTTTTATTGTTATACCTAACACGATCCGAGGACGTGGTGGAGTTTGATGGATGGTCTGAAATGAATTTTGAGTATTTAGAGGGCTTATGCTTAATTTTCACTTCTAAATAAGACTATCACAGGCCAGAGGGGGAAGCCATGGCAAATCCATTGGGGGGAGGGGGGGGGGGGGGTGCATGCCGGCTGGGGTTGGGGGGCATTGAACGGGGTATGGTGTTTTATTTGCAGTGATGGATTGGGGCTGTTGTCAAAACATTTTTGAGAGGTGAATATTTGATTTATATAATAATAACATTTTTCAACTGCCTCGAGACGCGATCATATCTTCATTCTGCAGTGTGCAATAAGGCAAATGATATTTTGAGAGGTGAATATTTGATTTATATAATAATAATATATTAAACTGCCTCGTGATTATATGTTCAGTCTTTCTCACGATAATTTTTGATATTAAAAATGACTGTACTGTATACAGGTATTCACCAGGTAGAGTGCAGTTAAAGGGGAACAGTCGGTATTTTCGGGGATTGATTTGGCCCTTGAATGTGCTTTAATAGTCTTAAGAAGTACTAAAACAAACGAAAATCACATAATCTCTTCAAATATACCTCAAACTAGAAATTTCACTGTCTATTTCTATATATGTGATTTCTATGTATGGCATAGTCTCACTAAAATTCGAGTCGAATTTTTAACTTTCAAAGGCGATTAACGTGGATTTGAAGACTCAAATTTCAACAGTGAACTGTGAACACTATTACTGATTATGTAAGCTAAACAATTCCAGTTTCTGAAACTAAGATATGATTGGTCGAACAGATAGTGAAGGTGTTCCTTTAAGATAGTAATAACAAAAGAAGTGAATATTACAAGTTTATTGTTACCACTATAATATAAAATATTTTAAACAGCCTCGAGAATAATAACTAGAGAAATAAATATTACAGTTTCTCACTATACATTCTAATATATAATATTACAGTTTCTCACTATACATTCTAATATATAATATTACAGTTTCTCTCTATACATTCTAATATATAATATTACAGTTTCTCACTATACATTCTAATATATAATATTACAGTTTCTCTCTATACATTCTAATATATAATATTACAGTTTCTCACCATACATTCTAATATATAATATTACAGTTTCTCTCTATACATTCTAATATATAATATTACAGTTTCTCACTATACATTCTAATATATAATATTACAGTTTCTCACCATACATTCTAATATATAATATTACAGTTTCTCTCTATACATTCTAATATATAATATTACAGTTTCTCACTATACATTCTAATATATAATATTACAGTTTCTCACTATACATTCTAATATATAATATTACAGTTTCTCACCATACATTCTAATATATAATATTACAGTTTCTCACTATACATTCTAATATATAATATTACAGTTTCTCACCATACATTCTAATATATAATATTACAGTTTCTCACTATACATTCTAATATATAATATTACAGTTTCTCACTATACATTCTAATATATAATATTACAGTTTCTCACTATACATTCTAATATACAATATTACAGTTTCTCTCCATACATTCTAATATATAATATTACAGTTTCTCTCTATACATTCTAATATATAATATTACAGTTTCTCACTATACATTCTAATATACAATATTACAGTTTCTCTCCATACATTCTAATATATAATATTACAGTTTCTCTCTATACATTCTAATATATAATATTACAGTTTCTCTCCATACATTCTAATATATAATATTACAGTTTCTCACTATACATTCTAATATATAATATTACAGTTTCTCACTATACATTCTAATATATAATATTACAGTTTCTCACTATACATTCTAATATATAATATTACAGTTTCTCTCCATACATTCTAATATATAATATTACAGTTTCTCACTATACATTCTAATATACAATATTACAGTTTCTCTCCATACATTCTAATATATAATATTACAGTTTCTCTCTATACATTCTAATATATAATATTACAGTTTCTCTCTATACATTCTAATATACAATATTACAGTTTCTCACCATACATTCTAATATATAATATTACAGTTTCTCACTATACATTCTAATATATAATATTACAGTTTCTCACTATACATTCTAATATATAATATTACAGTTTCTCACTATACATTCTAATATATAATATTACAGTTTCTCTCCATACATTCTAATATATAATATTACAGTTTCTCACTATACATTCTAATATACAATATTACAGTTTCTCTCCATACATTCTAATATATAATATTACAGTTTCTCACTATACATTCTAATATACAATATTACAGTTTCTCACTATACATTCTAATATATAATATTACAGTTTCTCACTATACATTCTAATATATAATATTACAGTTTCTCACTATACATTCTAATATATAATATTACAGTTTCTCACTATACATTCTAATATATAATATTACAGTTTCTCACTATACATTCTAATATATAATATTACAGTAGGTAGGATGAAATTATGAGAATACTTTTTTTTTCGAGTCAAATACTGTACACACTGACAACTTTTGGACAATATGTTATTTAACCGTTGTTTTTTAGGAACGTACGGTCACGGCACCACTGTAATCTTACTGTAAACTTGCTGATAATATACTGTAGACAGGCCTATGCACAGGCGCCTGGTATGATCAACGGCAATGATGTTGCCAGGTGTGTTGTCTAAATGTTGCCCAGCTGTGTTGTTTACATGTTGCCCAGCTGTGTTGTCGAGATGTTGCCCAGGTGTGTTGTCGAGATGTTGCCCAGGTGTGTTGTCGAGATGTTGCCCAGGTGTGTTGTCGAGATGTTACCCAGGTGTGTTGTCGAGGTGTTACCCAGGCGTGTTGTCGTGAAGTTACCCAGGAGTGTTGTCGAGATGTTACCCAGACGTGTTGTCGAGAAGTTACCCCAGGAGTGTTGTCGAGATGTTACCTAGCTGTGTTGTATAGATGTTGCCCAACTGTGTTGTCTAGATGTTGCCTAGCTGTGTTTTCGAGATGTTACCCAGGTGTGTTGTCGAGATGTTACCCAGGTGTGTTGTCGAGGTGTTACCCAGGCGTGTTGTCGAGGTGTTACCCAGGCGTGTTGTCGAGAAGTTACCCAGGAGTGTTGTCGAGATGTTACCCAGGTGTCTTGTCGAGATGTTACCCTGGAGTGTTGTCGAGATGTTACCCAGGTGTGTTGTCGAGGTGTTACCCAGGCGTGTTGTCGAGAAGTTACCCAGGAGTGTTGTCGAGATGTTACCCAGGTGTGTTGTCGAGATGTTACCCAGGAGTGTTGTCGAGAAGTTACCCAGGAGTGTTGTCGAGATGTTACCCAGGTGTGTTGTCGAGGTGTTACCCAGGAGTGTTGTCGAGAAGTTACCCAGGAGTGTTGTCGAGATGTTACCCAAGTGTGTTGTCGAGAATATGTTACCGAGATGCCATGTTATCGAATTGTTGCCGTGTGTATACAAGGCCAAATTTTGAATCTCAAGCTTAACAGTTGAAAACTCATAGGGTATAGGAACTGTATGACAGGCGAATGAAAATTTCCCCTCCCCTCCGCCCTTCTACCCTACTACCCACAAATCCTCAGGGGACACCTTGCCTGTTCAATAAGATTAGATCATGTTTGATATCCTATCTATATTTCTAACGTGTTTATTTTCATATAGTTTTTTGTTTGATTTTATTACCGTTTAAATATCAATAGTCTATAGTCACGATTTCTATTATAGAGAAGTTCATTCACAGGGGCTCAGATAAGAGACACTGGACTCCAGTCACCCTAGTCGTTCTCAATAATACTTCCTGAATGAATTTCAATAGACTATTTACTACTCTATCGAGACAGGCTTGGGAAAGAGACTAAGGTTTAAAGGTACACACGCTCTGTTTGATTCTTCTTCCGTCAACATTTCTTGTGAACACAATAGAGACTACAGTTTTCATCTGATTCAAATGATATTTCGTGTGATCATTTATATTGATGATATCTTGGACTGCTTCTAATTTGACGATTTTTCGTTAAACGCGTTAAAATGTGTTTGTGAGACTACAATGTTCATCCGAGTTAAGTTAAATTTGGTGTGATTTATATTAAAGGGATCTTGGACTGATTCCAATTTCACGATTTTTCGATTTGCGGTTTTTGAGTTATTGCCCTTTTCTTTGGAAAACACGTCAAAATATGTTTGTGAACAAAATAGAGATTACAGTTTTTATCTGACTGAAATGAAATTTAATGTGATCTTTTATATTGATGAGATCTTGGACTGATTCGAATGAGTGATTTGATAATTTGAATTGATGTATTTGAGTTATTAATATTGATTTTGAAAACTCTGCATAAATAACTAACAGTAAATATATATATGTAGAACAAAACGTAAAGCGCCACTAACTTTAATTCAGTATATTCTGGGACGTCGCGCACGTCATAGAAACCCTCCTATAACAGAGTTGGATTCAGCATTGCATCAGGAGTGGCAGAAAATTACTCAACAGGACATTCAAAAAATGATGAAAAACAGATACTTTGCATTTGAGGCTATAAAGACAATATAATGTACGATCATTCACTTCCTGTTGTTGATTTTTTCACGAATACAAATTGTTTTCAACATTAGGTTCTAATATATATATCTCTGTTATCAAGTATAATTTGCTAAACAATGGTTCAAAATCTGGTGGCGCTTAACTTTTTGTTCTAGGTATATATATATATATATGCATAAATTCAAACTATTAATACATGATGAAGATGTTTAAAATGAGAAAATTCATATTTTAGTCACTAAAAACTCAATTATTATTTCTGTCAGCTGCCAGTGGGCGTACGTTACCTCGCTTGGCAAGCTATCTTGGAATGGGACCAAGTTTTGAAGGGTCTCTTCCGAATCCAAACCGTCCCATATACGAATAAGTTCGTCTATATATAGGCTAATGATAGGTCTAATGAATACGGCACGCAGTGAGGGGCGTCAACAGAGTTAAGAGCAGTTTTTAATCACTAAAAAAACAACATTTTCTTATGATTTTCTCAAACATATATATGATATAATCAGGGTTTAATAAGGATTATATTTGGGTGCGACATGTAGATTATATTTATAAAAATATCAAAGAAAATTTGAATAGTTTGTAAATGTTAAATAGAATAGAAATATTGAAATATAGGATAATAAATATAGATATTAATTATAATAGATCTAATTTTATTAAAGCCATGTTAGAAGGAAGTTGTTGACGTTGTTTAGTCTGGTCTGATACGAGTCTTATTTAGGTCGTAAATATCTGTTGAATAAACAAGATGCAGTAAAAAGGGATTTTATATTTAAATTAAAAATTTGAAACCCAATGCCTTGCCTTCTGTAAAAGGGATATCAAGTTTACTATCATTACCCGCTCGTTAATTTTTTAAATAAAATACAGTTTATACTTCCTGATTGGATTAATGAAGACGGTTTGTAATTTACAATTTATTTTAGTTTCAATGCCGCGACTTAAAACTATCAGACATTGATTTTTGACAAACTTAATCAAAAAGTGTTCGCACACCAAACTTTCATTTTCGATTTTTAGTTCAAGCAATATTTTAATCACAGCCATACCATTCTTCCGAAATAGACCGTCAAGATGGCCACCTATATCTAAAGATATACTACGTCTTAGGATGATCAAAATATTGAAATGTTTAAACTTACCCAAAGTATTTTTCAATGATTATTTAGTTTAATTCTATTGTTTAGTCATGGTACCTGGTAAGTCTAACTGATGAATATATACTCTTATTGACCAAGTTTGAGATTTTAAATTTTGTGTCCATCTAAGATA